TCATGGAAGCATATGTATTTATCGATTGGAGGTAGGGTAACTTTGATTAATACATTCTTAATTCTATACCATTGCACTCATTATCCTTTTTTAAGGGGTTGAAGTTAGTGATAAAGGAGATTGTCACTATGTAACAAAATTTTTAGTAGAAAGGTGTTAAGGATGAATCTAAAATCTCCTAGGTGAAATGAGAAACGGTTTGTAGACCGCAAAAGAATGGTGTCTTGGGCATTAGGAATGTGGAGTGGTTTAACTAGGCGCTTCTTAGTAAATGGTTGTGGCGAGGTATTAATTGTTCTAGTTCATTGTGGATGCGAGTGTTGGAAGCTAGATATGGCAGATTAACTTCTTCTATTCAGTGTCCATCACTGCACAACAGATGTTCTTTGTAGTGACGTGATTTGTTGGAGGTTATTCATTAAAGGAATTCATAACTGGATGAGAAGTTGGATAGGAGTGTGGGTACAAGTTTACACACCCTTTTTTGGAGAGATAAGTAGGTAGGCGGGTGCGATTTTGTGAGACATTTCTTGGATTGTTTGCAGTGACAAAGAATGTTGAATCTTGTGTATTGGATAATGATTTTCATGATGGCATAAGGTGAGTTTGGGATATTAGTTGGCGCAGAGGACCCTTTCAACACGAGATCTCAAATTTTAATCTTTTGTTGGAGCTTGTTGACGGGGTTTCTAATAAGGTGCTACAAGAAGATAAATTGGTACAGAGGACAGATTATTCAGGTTGTTATTCATTGCAATTTGTGTATTCATGACTATTTAAACTTTTTGATGATCCTAACAGTATAGATCAATTTACGGCAGACGCCTTGCAAAGGTTATGGAGAGAAGGTCCCTCTTAAGTGTCTAGTATTTTCTTGGTAATTGCTATTGAATGTACTTCCTTGTAAAGGTCTGTTGATTAATCGTGGTGTTCAAATTGATGATATAACATGCTGTTTATGTCATGGTTTGAAGGAACTTCCAAGTCATTTGTTTTTAATGTGCTCAGTTTCATTTCGAATCTGGTACTTTATTGCGCGTTGGCTTGGATTCTCGCTGGTTTTGCCTTCAAATTTATCGACTCACTTGCTTGCTTGGATTGATGTTGGTTGTAATAAAAGTGAAGGAATATGTTTATTAATTGTTTGGGTAAGTATAATGTAGTTTTTGTGGTTGCATAGAAATAGAATGATGTTTTCTAATAGTGTTTTAGATGAGAAAGAAGTCTTAGATTCTATTATTTTAAGGTCTTAGAAGTGGTTATCACTTGTTAGTAAGAGAGAAGCTATTTTGTTAGCTGATTGGTATCTGAACCCACAAAATTGCATTTGCCTTAACTTAGTATGATTATATTTCTATATTTTTATTTTCTTGTGTAAGTGTTGATTTTTTTTTTCTGTGTATATGAGTTTTGAGTTCTTCTTAAACTCTTTCTAATAATATATGTTTTGTCTATAAAAAAAGATATTGCTTTAAATACAAAGGTATAATAGAATTTATTCATACATAAATGCAATGTAATCCCTGGAATTGGAGAATAATTTGTACCAAATAACTTGTCTCTTGAGTATCCAACTTTGATTTACAGATAAATTCTATTTAATCTAAAAATTAAGAAGATATTTTATACTTTCTTATACATGAAACAATTATAACAATTAATTTTAATAGTAGAATAAGTAGTTTATTTAAAAATAAATAAATAATTTTTAATATCTTTATATAATTTAAAAAGAGTACAATCAATTTATTTATAATCACCAACATATCCAAAAGGACAATCGATTAATAGGGATTTGGAAGCATTCCTATTCACTTTGATAATTTGCTCCGTAGATAACGTTGGCATTTATGTCAATGCCATCAACATATTAAGAATATATAAACTACCGCAGCTTTTTTTTTTTTTTCATTTTAAAAACTATATTCAGAATTTTAAGAAACAAAAATCAGAATGCATAGAATGTCGATCTGTTCGAACGTGAATTCATTGATGATGTCTTCCTTCGCCCTAATTCTAGGCTAAATGATTAAAATAATGTTTTTTTAAAAACTAATTATCAAAATAAATTAAAACTCAAACTATTTTTCTGTTTGGGACAAATTTTTGCCAAATTAGCACTAGTTTTGTATAAAAGTCAGACAAAATTAATTTTTATTTTTTTATTTAAGTATTTCGTCTAAAAGTGGGACGAAATAACCGAAATAATAACATGTGTCTCTTATTAAAAAAAAAAAACCCCCAAAAAGATTTGAATTTTATTTTGCCACCTTGCAGACACGTGGACCAATGGGATAATTTCGTCTCTAATTTAGACGAAATAGTGGCTGCGCGAATCCTCTTCTCCTTCTCCCTTCTGCCTCTTGTTCGATCTGGAAGCCATAACCATTTTTGCTCCGTCACGCAGCAAGATTTTTTGTTGTTTTTTTGAGTGATTTTTGAGTGAGCAAGTGGTTTTGTTCTTAATCCATTACAGGTCTGTGATTTCGTCCGTTTCCATTGTCAGTTGTCACTGTTCTTGGATTGGAAGTCTGAGATAGTTGGGAAAACTCACAACCTTTGCCATCGGCGACAGGGGAGAAGAAAGGTAGGAGCTAGTGGAGACACGTCACATATTGCACAAACTGCCACTGTCACCAAAGTCGTCTGTTGCCGGAAAAACTATGCTTAGCCGAAAAAATCTACACCAGGTAACTTTTATTTTAGGTTATTTAAATTATTTATAATTCAAATTTTATTGATTAGAAAAATATTGATAGAGTAGTTTATATTAAAAATTGATTTTAATTTAATTTAGTAATTTTTAGAAATATAAAAATAAGCTTAATTTGTAAAAAAATAAAATTTTACATATAAAATTATCATAGTAATTTGAGGTGTAAATTTAAAAATAAATAAAAATAAATTAAATAAATTAAATACATTAGATTAAATTGTTAAATAATATTTAGAATAGAAAAATAAAAATAGTTGTATAAGATTGGTTGATTAATAATATAATAAATGATATTTCGAATACATATAAATTTGAAAATGAAAATTTTATTTTTTAATATTAAATAACATTAAAAAATGGAAAATGATAACTCAATTTATGATTAAAAAATATTAATAGATAACAGTTATAATACTTTGTTGTTGATACGCACTAATCATACAATCAATGTCTTCATCATCACATATATTTAATGCAGTGCATTGTTTAGCGCTTAAATCAACCATAAAACGAGAAATTATTCTATATATGAAATGATTATTACTAAGATTCAACTTGTCATAAATCTTTTTTTTTAAATTCATAAAACTTATCCCTCTTCTTGTCTTTATCATCTTTTTGTTACTTTCAAATGTCACACCTTCGTTTCTAACAACAATTTTTCCATTACAATATACAATAATAATAATCTCACTCATCCTGTATTTATAAAAAAAAATGAAATATCAATAAACAATTTTAACTATACTTATTAATATAAATAATAAATTATTATATTTTTATTGACATACACAAACATATTATTACATTTACATCATTTTATATTACAAATATTTTAATAGTTTTTATACATATTTCACATATATAAAATAAATTCTTACAACAAATATAACATCATTTTTATTTATTACACAAGTTAATATTAACTATCTCCTAACTTCTATAATTTTAATAATTCATTAATAACAAAAAAACTCATAAAATATCCAAAATTTACTAACTTGGAGAAGAACAAGTCTTCGAACGTTTACAAACACTTTTGCACTTCAATTTAGATCCCATCTGCATACATGATATACTAAAATTTTGTTGGATATTTGGGGGCAGCATTATGCAAGAGACCGGGGATCCAAATGAATTTCATCTTGAGTGTAGACGAATTTAGATATGATTTCGTCCAACATAAAGACAAAATTAACAAGATTGTGCCACGTTTCATAATCCTGTGGTTTCGTCCAAAAGTGAGACGAATTTATATATGACAATATCAAGACGAAATTAACAAAATTGTGTCACGTGTCAACATCCTGTAGTTTCGTCCAAAATTAAGACGAATTTAACGAGATACGGACACGTGTCGACATCCTAAAGTTTTGTCCTAGTTTCATACAAAATTAACACGTGTCTAATTGAGTGTTTCGTCCCATTTTTAGACAAAATAATTAAATTAAAAAAATAAAAATTAATTTTGTCTGACTTTTATACAAAACTAGTGCTAAGTAGGCAAAAATTTACTCCAAATAAGAAAATAGTTTGAGTTTTAATTTATTTTGGTAATTAATTTTTTAAAAAAATATTATTTTAATCATTTAGCTTTAATTCTAAGACTTCATCTCAGCCAAGCAGTCAAACACAGACATCACACCCCTTGTAAAATGAAAGAAAAAACAGAGTGAGATAAATAAAATATAGATATATTACTTTCATTTTTTTATAAATAATATTTACTCGTATTTTTTAATTATAAAAAATAATAAATTATTATTTATTAAAAATTAATATATAAATAAATATTTATTATATATATATATATTAATTACTATTTTTTATTACTTAATATAATTTTTTAACAAGATAGTCACTTATATTTCATATAAATAAATATTTTTATTCATTTAATATATAAAAATAATTAACCATTTAACATCATGAGAAATTTTAGAATAAAGTATAATTATGACATATTACTATCTTTTATTTATCTTGATAAATAAGATATTTATTTTTATAATAAAATTGAAAATAATTATAAATAATTAATATTAAAAAAGAGATGAAGAAAAACGAAAATAAAAAAAATTGAGCGTGAAAATACAAAAATTCATTTCGATTTCTGCAACAACTTACACTCAACGTGTGGACGTATGCAAATGCAAGTTGGTTCCTTTTTCGTGGTTCAAAAGCCTTTTTATTTTATTTGTGAGGTCCTTTATTTACTATACCACAACCAACCACTAATAAATGAAATATCATATATGTAATTTTTGAGGTTAGCATTAATCACCCTCAAGTACATTTTAACAAGGAATTGGAAACCTTTGATGCCCTGTTACTAGCAAACGAGGGGGAATATTTTAGTCTTGAAAGAGAGAGAGAAAGATAAGTACTTGGTAAGGAAAAATACAGATTACAAATGGAATGTCTCGAATTTTGTTATAGAGTGTAAATATAAATTGGGATTTGGTTTCATTTACAAAAAGTTTTTGGTGTCTGAAATTAGTGTTTGAGGAGTCATGTCTCTCTTTGCGGCATTTTCCATCTGTAAAGTTGCCAAGGATGCAGCTGGACTTGCTGGTGCTTTCTCACTTTCCATCACTTTCTTCAATTCCTTTTTTTATTATTATTTATTTTCTGGGAATTTATTTTGGATGATTGATAAACAAACAGAGAAAAAAAATCCCATTTTTGGTTGTTGGTGATCACATTCATCATCTGTATGAGCTTGGTTATTTGCAGGGAATGTCTTTGCTTTTGGGCTGTTTGTATCTCCCATGTAAGTTTTATTTTGATTCTGAAGAACAATTGAGGTCAGGACTTTGTTGCTGATTTATGTTCATTGTGTAACTCTTGTTCTGTTTTGAAATGCAGACCCACATTTAGGAGGATTATGAGAAATAGGTCAACAGAAATGTTCTCAGGGTTGCCATATATTTATTCTCTCCTGAATTGCTTGATCTGCATGTGGTATGGAACGCCTTTGGTATCACCTGATAATTTGTTGGTTACTACTGTAAATTCAATTGGAGCAGTCTTTCAGTTTGTGTACATACTTCTCTTCCTGATGTATGCTGAGAAAGAAAAGAAGGTTAACTTTCTGATACTACTGGAAGCTTATTTTTATGATATGATAAAGCAAATTTCAGTGGTTAGTTTCTAAGCTGTCATACTTTAAATTGCCATTGAATAGGTGAGAATGCTTGGATTATTGCTTGCAGTTCTTGGCATATTTGCAATCATATTGTTTATAAGCTTGCAAATAGTTGATGTTCTAATGCTCCGGCTCTTCGTGGGATTCTTGAGCTGTGCATCTCTTATTTCAATGTTTGCTTCTCCATTGTTTATAATTGTAAGTGTGTCATTTCCTACATATTCATCAGTAATATGAGTTGCATCTGTTAGTAGGTGAATTTGCTTATATTGTCTATATATATTTCTCAGAGACTGGTTGTTCAGACAAAGAGTATTGAATTTATGCCATTTTATCTCTCACTTTCCACCTTCCTTATGAGCACCTCTTTCTTCCTTTATGGATTACTCAATGATGATGCCTTCATTTATGTAAGATTCCTTTCAACTCCCTTTTATATTTCGATTTATTCCAGAAAAACCTACTTTACTTTGAAATGTTCATTTTGGTGCCTTATATTTGCAATATAATATGTATCTACATCTTTGCTTGATTTGTAGGTGCCAAATGGGATAGGAACCATTTTGGGAATGATACAGTTGTTATTATACCTATATTATGAGAATAAATCTGGAGAAAATTCCAGAGAACCGTTGATAGTGTCTTATGCATGATCAATTCTGCTGGAAAAATAAAGGTAAAAAGCAAACGAGTAAATCTCTGATTAAAAAGCAATTGAGTACATCTTTGCTTGATTTAAAAGAATCCATGCTTGCTCAGATAATAAAGAATTGACTTTATGCTCTATACTTTTCTCTTTGTAGCTCAACTTTTTCTGGTTTTGATGCTACCTGTTAGCTGTAATAGTAACAAAATGTCATACTTTAATTTATTACTATTCAAGGGGAAATATATTGTCTTAGGGAAAGGACAAACTTGCAATTTGTAAATCAACATTGCATATAACCGTTAATAAGAAAAAAAGCAAACTCCATTAACATAAGTTCTACAATAAATCTTCAAGAGTAGTTCTAACTGTAACGGTTGCTTGTTCCTGCACAAAACAGAATCATAGTTAGAAATGACCTTTTGCTGCTAGATGTGGCCTGAAACTAAAGTTGGCAACATTCCTGTTTGATTCAACTTATTGGAGCAATTGCTGTTGCATCCTTGAGAGTGGCCAGAAGTTGTGATCATGAATAACTTGAACTTGTCCATATATTGCACCAATCCTACAGTTGTTGGTGACATCCTAAGCTGCCTTCTCTTGCATTGAGACTATTTCCAAATTCACCAGATGTAAGAATAATCTATATACACATTATCTGACAGAAATGTATTGTTTATTTTAGTCTACTGTTCCATCTTGATCCTACTTGACTGCTTACATGCAACATAATGAGTAAGAAGTGATTATCTCATTATTGTAGTGGATAGGTGGAAGAGTCATTATATGCGAAAAATGAGTTTCACTATTCTATATGGAGTGCCAAGGTAGTTCTTGATTGCTTGTTTTACAGTTCCTTACAAATAGTTTCCTTTTCATGTTTTTAAATCTCTGTGCTTGAGTATGTCTGAGACTTTTTTATTTTACTGTAACGATTAATTGAATATGGCTCATCTGTGTATACATGCAAGTGTGTGTTTAAGAGTTGAATTTTGAAAAAAAAGAAAAGATAAAGATTTTATTTTAAAATTTAAAGAATTGTATAATATAACAACTTTTGAAGCATGGATACGACATTTCTTATGGATTACATTTTGGATACGGGAAATGAAATTTTTTGACTAAAATTTTAAAGTTTTGGAGTTTTTTTTTCTTTTAAAAAATCTGACCTAGTTGTCTCTTCCTCCCTTCTAACTTCCACATACTAGTATTTCCTCCAGTTTCTACGTACCTATAGGTTGCATATGCTTTTCTCCTCTCATCTCGAACTTCAACCATCAGTCTTTACTGGCGAGCAACTAACGACGAGCAGCAACAAAAGTGGTGGCAAGTCTAGCGACCATCTCCTCCAACAATTGCAAGCCACGGATAATGTCGTAAATAAAAATGTGTAAATATACTTAAGCAGAACAATTATAATTTGAAAAATATCCTAATGGTACTTACTACATAAATCATACTAGCGTAGAATGATTTATGATTTGTACATAAGCTGCATAAAGCATAGGTGATTTACACTGGAATATACCCCATGCTAGAATTAAGCACAACCATAATCAAACTAAGTCTCACAAAAGTGAGAATACTTGTGATTTGTAAGTATTTTCTTTATGCACTAGCACGATCATGCTAATCAATAAACACGAGTATACGCTAACACGAGTATGCTTAGTTTAACATACTTGTGCTCTAGTTTTAACTTAAACTATGAAAGGAATATAATTTATTTCAAAATTCCAATGTTTTTTCTATTTTTTTATTTTTACAATTTTTTTGTTAAATCATTTTTTGCATTGTTGTCTTATTCGTAATAATAAGATATTAAAGGTGATGGATGATATTATATTTAATTGATATATTTTTTATTATTAAAAAAATTAACAGATGTTAAAAGTCGTTATATAATTTTCTTTTGTATTAGCAAAGATGACACAATACTCTTGGGTAATTTATGTTCGGAGTTTCAAATGAGTTTAGTTTAATAAATCTAAAATTTTAATGTAAAATAGATATATAATTTGTATAAATTAAAATTTTGTGCAAAATGTCATGGCCTTTAAAAGTTTATACCAAAAAGCTTGAGCACAACTATGTTAAACTTGAGCATAAGTCATATCATCTTTAGGCAAATGTTCTATTCCTTTTCCAAAGTTTATTCCTAGTTGTCTGTTGCTGCGTTCTTTGGGGAAGAAAATCTGAAAATGCAAGCATCAATTACATGCGCTCCTCGGGTAAATGGACCTGTCAGAGTGCAACTGCAATCACCCACAAGCCTGGTCCCAGCAATTCCCCTCAAACCTCACTCTACTTTGAACCGAACCAAACCAACTTCTGTACTCACAGTAAGATGCAACTTTCAACCTCAACCACTGCTAAACCTTTCAACATCAAAATCACCCAAAAAACACAGCTGCAACGTTGGACGACTTCGGTGTGGCAATGGGGACGATGTAGAAGAAGGTAAGGGCGTGAGTGTCGGTGAGTGGGTTGTGCGTGCTGGTGAGGCCTTATCAACGGGATTTCCATTGTGGGTGACAATTGGGTGCGTTTTGGGGGTAACGAAACCGAGTTATTTCAATTGGGTCACTCCCAAATTAAGAATTGCGGGTCTCAATATCATCACTCTCACTCTTGACGATTTGCGTGGGCTTTTTGCTGTGCCTAAGCAAGTTCTTCAGTATTCCGTTAGTTATCTTTACACTCTGCTAGTTGTTTCGAATTTATTATTTTACTACTCTTCTTGTTTCTTGGGTTTATGTGATGGATTTTGCCCCACAATGCATGCAATTTTAAATATTATTTACCACAATTTTATCATTTAAAAATTCGTGTTACGTCTAATTATTTTATTTCATATATTAAAAATCCATACGGGATACATTTTCATCTATGTTACATTTTTAGTATCAAAGTTTAAATTTAACTTTTTTTTTACTTTAAACAAAATTTAAATTTTAAGTTCAAATTTAAATTTTTCTCTCACATTAATTTACGTTTGAATTTAAAATTTATTTTTACTTTAATTAAAGTTTAAAATTGAAGTTTGAATTTAAAATTTTATGTTTCTCTTGACGAAAGTTTAAAATTTTTAAAAATTGAATTTAAGTTTTAGTAAAAAAAGAATTTAATTTTAAATTTAAAATTTCAATTAACGTGAGAAGAAAAATAAAATTCAAATTGTGAATTGAAACTTGAACCAACATGAAGAGAAATTAAAACTTAAAATTCAAACTTTGCATTAAAAGATATCATATATAATACATTATATTTCAATTTTTAACATGTGGAGTATAAGAAAAAGAAACAACGTTTGTTGTGTTTTGGTTCATGACATAGAGATGAAAAAATAAGCTTATTCATCTAAGCTCACTTGAAATCACTTAATAAAATGTATGAGTTTGACTTTATATTTTGAATTCGAATTAAATTTGAACATTTTTAACATGATCTAATCAAACTCAATGTAAGCTAAGCTCATAAAAAATTGAGTTTTATCTAATTTAAACAATATGCGAGCCCCAACTACTAACTAGATCCAAACTCTTTTTGTTTGATCAGATAAAGTTTGCTATACATTGTAGGCCAACTCAACCGGGTAACCAATTTTGCCAACTCTAATATAACATTTTCCCGTTAAGTATATTTTTATTAAATTTATTCATTTTAATAATTATTTTTAAATAATACTATTTTAATAAATACTCTTTGAAATTGAATTATATTTTGTAAAAATTCAATAGCCCCAAAATAATGTCATTTTTACTATCCACATGTTGAATCCCATCAATCATTGTAGACCACAAGGCCTCAAGAGAATTGCACCCAATACCTGTTAGATATAAACTCACACAGTCAGTTAAGTTAATGATTTCAAGTATTAAATTAAATGCTAAAAATATATTTAACTTGGTATACAATATATTAACAAATTAATAAGAATAATCAACTAAAGATTATTTAAAAAGCATAAATTTTCAAATGCAAAATCAGTAAGAAAAAATATAAAAATCATTTAAAAAGAAAATATTAGCAGAATACTTAAGATTGTTATTTTAAAATTTCAACATATTATTAAAAATTTTATTCAAAATAATACCGAAAAGGGAAAATGGAAATGCAACATATAGAGACAAAATCTATTTATTTATAAAAAATACAATGAAAATAGAGAATATTTTCCTAAACCATAGAAATACTCTTTACTATCCTTTTAAACCGTTTATCTTGATGATTTATCCTTGTTTTTATGTATATGAATGGCTGACAATTTTCAGGTGGTGCCAATATCTGCATTTCTCATAAGCAGACTCTTAAATCTTCCATCACATTCTGCAGCAGGTTTAATATTACTTGGGTGCTGTCCAGGGGGTATGAATTTTAATTTTGTGGTTTATGCATTCTATACACCTTTGACTATTTTAATTAGTCTTTGATGTGGTTGCAGGCACAGCTAGTAACATTATAACATATCTTGCACGGTATTACGGCTCTTAGAACTGTTATTCCAATTAATATGCTTCTAAAGGATTAATTTGATGAGCTAGGTGATCTGAATTCTGATGACCCATTTGTTTTGCTAGTGGAAATGTGGCATTCTCTGTGATAATGACCTGCAAGCACCCTAGCTGCCATAGTTGGTACTATAATTTTACTCTTATATTTAGTTCTGCTGTAAACGTGAAATTGATGACAAAATTAAGTATTGGGCATAACAACGGTACAATTAATCGATTTGAAATGGCACCATAAGCAACTGGCAAGTTCAATGTGAGATTTTTTTTTTATGAACTCTGTCTGAATTAACCCTATGTGGTTGCTTTAAGTAATTCTGAGAAGCTACGATGCATACATGTTAGTGTATTTTATGATGGAATTAATAGTGCATGTTTGTACTTTTTTTTCTCACATTGAAAACTTAACATTACAGATCATGACTCCTTTTCTAACAGCCAAACTTGCTGGTAAATATGTAGCAGTGGATGCAACTGGCCTATTGATTTCAACATTGCAAGTAATTAAGCTTTAATTTCCATCTCAAAGTGTTGTAATTTCATTTTCTAAGATGTTGTGATGTGATGTTCCTTAGTCATTGTTACTTCGTTCTCTTACCAAAGAAGAATTGTCTCTCTCAACAGGTTGTGTTTATTCCTGTGTTGGCTGGTGCATTTCTGTGTCAATTTTTCCATTCTTTTGTTAAAATTGTCTCTCCATTAATGCCACCCTTGGCTGTGGCAACTGTTGCAATTTTATGTGGAAACGCCATTGCCCAAAGTTCTTCAGCAATCCTTGTGTCTGGTGGACAAGTAATTTTAGCCACCTTGCTTCTTCATGCTTCAGGCTTTTTCTTTGGTTACCTATTTTCAATTATGCTTGGGTTTGATTTGTCATCTACAAGAACCATATCTGCTGAGGTTGGCATGCAGGTAAACTTTCTCCTTTTCTAATGACTAAGGATGGAAATAGGATAAGATTTTGAATAAGTAAACAACAAGTCATATTTAATAATGTTAAATTATGAGCTTAACTTATTTATTATTTATCATATGCTCTTATTAAGTTTAATATGATGTTTTTAAAAGTTTTATTTAACTTATTAACATTTTTAATAACTTACTTTATATTGAGAATTTTAATAGACTATTAAGTCTCTTTATAAATAAACTATCAAATTATTTAAATAAGTATGCTTTTATAAAAATTATAAGATTTATAGCTAAAGAAGTTATGAGAAAAATAGTTTATCATCTTAAATATTTATAATAAAATTATATATTTATATTTATCACTTTCAAACTACATATTTAATTTAAATACGTAAATTACTAAACATACAACAAATACAATTGAATAAACATCAATTGATAAATTATTAAATAAATTTAGTAGCATAAAGTTTCACACTTTAAATCAATAAACACAATACAATTAAATAATTTTTGAGTTAAAATGAACAAATGCAACAAACAAAATTCTTAAAATACACAAATAAAAATATTATTTTAAAGTAAAGTATAAAGATATTAATAAAAAAGATATATCAAACAAAAAAGACTCTAACACGTAACACACTAAAATATGTAGTATAGACACTTTTCAATTTGAATGAAAAGAATTATAACTTTTAATTTAAAATTTTATTTATTTTAAAATTTAATTTATTTAATATAATATTATATCATAATTTTTATGTAAAATTATTTAAAATATTATTATAAATTTTATGAGTCTTAATTAAGTCATTCTATCATATCATGCTTAATAAATTTTTTCTTAAGTTCAAATATACTTATTCAATTAATTAAACAATTTAAAAAATTTAAATTAAACCCATAACTTAAATAGTTCAAGTAATATTAGGTTTTAAAAAAAATTAGGCCCATATGACCTATTTTCATTTCTACTGATGAATAAATCTTTTTGTAATATTTTAAAAATATTATATTATTTAATAAAATTAAAATTAATTTTTTTGTAATTAAGATATATAGTTGATATTAATTTTTATTATATTATTGAGTTGAAGCTTTAAGGAACAATAAAAAATGCTTATAATAATGTAATTATATTTTGTCGCGTTAGTAATAGTGTGCTGTCTGGCCGAAGACATTAACTAAAAAATAAATTAATTTTCAAAAGTATTTTTATGTTAAAAATATAATTTTTTGACTATGCTAAATATTTCACAATCATTCCTTATAGATACAAATTATAATTTTTTTTACAGGTTTAAATATTATTTTAATTTTCATACGAACCTCGTTTTTAAGATTTGGTTTCTAATACAGAAAGTTTATAAATAAAAAAATATTTTTAAAATAGTCTTAGTTTAATGTTAAACAAAAAATAATTAAATATTTTTATTATAATCTTTATATATAATACTTTTTTCATTTCAGTCCTTATATGAAAAAAAAGTTTAAACTATAGGAAAAGAATATGTTACATACAGGGACAACAACGACAAATGTATCATTCACAGGAACTAAAATGAAGAAAAAATGTTATACACAGATTAAAATAAAGATTACCATTAAAAAAATTAAAAGAAATTACAATGATTCATGACATAATATAGGTGATTTATTAATTTTAAATAATATAAACGCAGATTAATGTGATTATGAAAAATATTATAAAAGTATAATGTTTGAAAGTTTGACAAAAGGAATATATTTTGACGTTCGAAAATTTTAGTTTTGTTTTTAAAGAAAGTAATTTATTATAATTGTACTTAGAAGTATGAGTAAATTGAATTATATATTTTAACAATAAAAGGCAACTAAAAAGAAAAATGTGAGTAACTTTTGAAGTAAAAAAAATGACTATTATGTAAAAATTATTTTACATTTTCTCCTTGTAACATTTGATAAGCAATAAAAGCAAAATCTTTTTTTTACCTAAATATCAAATACAATTTTTATAATCCATTAAATTTAAGTTAAAGGAAAAACTCAAAGTATAAGAGTTTTTAGATTTATATCATTGTAAGAAAATCTTGTCCCATATATATATATATATATATATATATATATATATATATATATGTTGATTCTTATAATTTTTTTTATAAAGACTAAATAAAAAAAATGAACTTTTAGTTCTATATAAGAAACTTTTTATAATTTAATTTTTATAAGTAAATAATTTGTATATCAATTTTTAGATAATTTTTTTTCCCATTTTGTCTCTATGGTTAGAGTTTGTTATAACGAAATTAGATGTCTTTTCTGTTTAGCAAATAATTATCCAATGTGGTAGATTTAAGTTATTTTTTATTCTCTCTACAAGACTCTTTTCTGTAAAAAAAATTATATATAATTGTAAAAATATTTATTTTTAATTTTATTTTTATTATTATGATGATAATTTCATGTAAATGTCAAATGATATTTTTCTATAACTTTTTTATAGAAATATTTTAAATTCTTCAAAGAAGTTTTAAATATGTTCAATACATTTTTTAATTCATAATGTTTAGTTTCATCATATCAGCTAATGTTTTTTTGCTTTAAACCTAAGTAAGAACCATCCCAAAAGAACCTCATATTTTGATTTATTTTTATATGAGCATTGCCTCCAATATTTTCATGATAATGATAGTGATGATTTAAAGAATTATGCTGATTTTCTTACAATTATACCAATAATACAAGAAAGAATGTAAGATGTAATGCTCATATTGAGATATATCAAAATATGTAGTTATACATGAAAAAATATAAAGCAAGATATGAGATTTATTTAAATAATTTAGAATATTTCTTTGAAGATAATAGAAATATATTATTTGATAATGTACATCACTATAATGATAAAGACAAAATTAAAAATAAATTTTTACACAGAAACATATACAATTTTTTTATCTATTAAAACTAAATTACAAAAAAATATTGTATAAGAATTAAAAGACAATTTAAACTTGCCACATAAGATAATAGTTTGTTAAATATCGATAGAGATAAAATTAAAAAATATTATATATAGATTAATATATAATTTTTTTATTTATAAAAATTAAATTAAAAAAAATCTTGTATAAGAACTAAAAATTTATTTATTTCAAAAATAAATTTTATATAAAAACTACAGCTTGCTTTGGGGGGGGGGGGGATCTGTGGTTAATTTAGGTTGTATTTGAGGTTGTATCTGTGGTTATTTTTTATTCCTATAATTTACTTTTTTTTATATTTAAATGATTTTATTTTAATTCTTATACATAATTACTAAATAAAAAATAAATTATATATAAAAACTAGAATATTATTTATTTATTTTTATAATTGCATTATTAAGTTTAGGCAGCTTGCTAGCTTTTGGGGGATCATATATTGGTTAAATTCAACTTCAAATTAACTGTTTGTTTTCCATATTAATTGTACAACTCAGTTCTGAGAATTGTTGTAGCTACGGAGCACTTTGGAGATCCCCAAAGTGCAGTACCTGGTGCTGTTTAAAGTGTTTGTCAATCGATCATTGGTAGTATATTCTTGCAGCAATTTGGAGACGCTCCGTGCCTGTTGAAACCAAGAACAACTGAAAATATCTAGCTGAATAAGCTTTTGCTAATAACTATAATCATGTTTATTCTTATGCTATTTATTATTTACCATTTATTAATAATAAAATTATATCTATTGTGTTTGCGTGCCAATTTTGACATTCACGATATTTGTGTTATTTGACTATTTTAGTGATATTTTCTATATTTTATAAGTTTTTAAGATTTTTTTATTTTTATAAAATTAATATTTAACTAAATTTTGTTGAACAAAGAAGATTTTAAGTAGAGTATCTTACAATGAGTATGCCATTTCAATACAACTCTAAAACTTAAGACTATAGGTGTATTAGTCCATTTTCTTGTATATCTTTTAATTTTAATATATTTTATTTTATATAAGACTCAATTTATATTTAATTCTAATTTTATTTAAAATTATAATAAAATATTTAATATAATAAAAATAATTTTAAATATATTTTATTTAATATATATTACCGTGTTCGTATCTTAATATTTTAAAATTTATTTATCGTGACATAAGATTTTGGTAATTGTTGTGTTCATTTAATTATTTCTTTTCTTTTTGATAGCGAAAAGAGAATGAATTTTATTAATGAAAGATGCATAACATGGGAACAACCCTCCTATGTAGGTTCTGATACATCAACATAAAAGAATAAATGCTAGATTCCACTAGCTCCAAGGGTGATCTAAAAATCTAGGAGAAAGAAACCTTAATAGGCGGTGAGAGCTTCTCTCTCTCTCTCTCTCTCTCTCTTCTTTCTTTAAAAAAGTAATTTTTTTTTTATCTTAAGTTAATAGTTAAAAATAAATAACTAATAATAATAAAATTTTATTAAAAAAATATAAGCTTCTCTCTCTTCTTTTTTAAAAAAATTAATTTTTTTATCTTAAGTTAATAGTTAAAAATAAACAGTTAATAATAATAAAATTTTATTAAAAAAATATTTATTATATTTTTATAATTTTAATATAATAATTATATATTTTTTTATAAATATTTAAATTTAGCTCTAATAATTGAAGTTAACAATTTTTTTAATTTTTTTTATAGAATATAAGTAAATTTTAATATTTTGAATTTGTATTAATTTAAATTTTAAAATTTAGTATATTATTTCTTTCTTAATATATTAATTATAATGTTATGTTTATATATTTATTATTCATTTATTTAGAAATAAATTAATGTTTTATCATTTTTAAACTCTTAATTTTATTATTATTTTATTATCCATCCAAACTAATATACAATAACATCTAACTGGATAGTCATGCATAGTCATAGAGGCAATGACATTGTGACAAGTGGTAAATTCTTATGAATTAATAAAATTAGATACTGAGCTAATAAAAAATTTTAAATTATAAAAAAATTTATTTGATAGAAGAAATATAATTTGTATTTTTGGTTAACTTATTATGTCATTTTAAATTTATATAAATCTTTGAGTAAACTTTTAGTTTTACCTCTCTTGTCCCTAGATGCATTTATACAAAAGTGAAAGTTTTTAATCACTAATTTTTAAGAATTCTTTTTAAAAAATTGTTATTCCGCTATGATAACTATTTATTTAACATATTATTGATCTTTTAATAATAATATTACATTAATTATTTAAATATTTGTATTATTACATTAATTTCTTAAAAAAGTTAAAATATCATTATCGTTATTCTTTTTAAAAGTAATAAAAGGATGTTCGAAAGTTGCAGGAATCTCTCAAATAGTTAAACCGTATTTTTAGTAAAATAATGCATTTACATCCACTTTTTTTGGATGTAGGTAGGTTGAAGAAAAAAAGGGATATAAATAAAAAGAAGAAAAGCAGAGTAAGAAATATTTAACATGTGATGTGTGATAAAAGAAAAAGAGATAAAAAGAAGAATATATATATATAAAAAGAAAAGAAGAGTAAAAATATATGAGTTGCATAGTTTCGTTCATAGTTCCTGGTGTGTTATTTTTGTTGTTGAACCAAAATAGAGGGAAAAAAAAAATGCAAGCATCAATAGCATGTTCTCCACACGCATATGGAGTTGTCAAAGTTAGGGTGCAATCACAACACACCAACCTTGTTCCAACAACCACTTCCCTCAAACATAACTCTACTTTGACTCGATCCAAATCAATTTCTAAGCTCACACTCAGATGCAAGCTTCAACCTCAACCACTGCTGAACCTTTTCACATTAAAATCACCGAGAATATGCAACACCAAGGTGGGTCCACTTCGGTGTGGCATTTCGTCTAACGGGTATGGTGCAAACGAAGGTAAGAGTCTGAGGGAATGGGTTGAGCTGGTTGGTGAGGTCCTATCAACGGCATTTCCGTTGTGGGTGACAATTGGGTGTGTTTTGGGGTTGTTGAAACCCAATTGCTTCAATTGGGTCACTCCAAAATTGAGTATTGTGGGCCTCACCATTATTATGCTTGGTATGGGTATGACTCTCACTCTTGATGATCTTCGTGGGGCTCTTGCTATGCCTAAGGAAGTCCTCTCTGGTTTTGTCCTTCAATATTCGGTTAGTATCTTAGAATATCTGTTATTGAACTTATTTTATCATATAGGAGCTTAAGCTAAAATTGGAAAGTGTTTGATTAAGTTTATGAACGTTACTTATAACTTAGTGCAGGTTCGTTTAAGCTTAGGCCTAGTTTGGACAAGTTTCTCAATAATTACTTATAGAATGTAAAATAAGGAAGTAAAACGAATTCAATCATTTCTATAAGTTTAAATTAACATATGTTTTCTACCTTTTTTTAAGAAGTTATGTGATTTGACTTTTTTAAAACTTAACTGTGCATAAGTTGATTTTAACTGAAGAAAAAAGTTTTATTCGTATGACCTCTTTATTTTATTCTCTATAAGTACTTATATAAAAGTTTATCCAAACTAGGCCTAAGTGTCATAATGAACTTATTGAATTTAGTGTTTATGAAGTAAGCATAAATGTTAAAAGGCTTTTATTGAATATGCACTAAGTTATTTAAAGAAATATATGCTGAGCTACCTTAATTTTCCAATTTAATAGTATTCAAAACCATTTATCTTGACGAAGTATTCTTGTTTTTAAGAATTGCTGACATTTTTCAGGTGATGCCACTGTCTGGATATTTTGTAAGCAAAATCTTAAACCTTCCATCTCATTATGCAGCAGGTTTAATATTAGTTGGCTGCTGTCCAGGAGGTATGAATTTTAATCTTCCATCTCATTATGCTTCTATATATCCTTTACCTATTTTATTTTTATATATTCTTTGCTGGGTCGCTTACTTTGGTTGGTTGCAGGCACAGCAAGTAATATTGTTACATATCTTGCACGGTATATTAGTTCTCCGAACTGTTTTTCCAAATAATGCTTTTAGTGGATCTGATGATCGGTTTGTTTTTGCTAGTGGAAATGTGGCGCTTTCAGTGATAATGACAGCTGCAAGCACTCTATCTGCCGTGGTACATATAATATAATTTTAGTCCTATCTTTGATTTTTGTTCTTGATGACAAAAATGTGGTACTGGGAGGAATTATATGAGATTGTTCGATGAACTCTGTCTTTAGCCAGAGTGGTTGATTAGAATAAGTAATTTATTATTCTGAAGAATAAGATTATAAATGTGCCATCTTTCCTTGAGTTTGATGGCGAAGGAGTTGTGTGCTTTGGGTGCTTTCCAAGTTTAAAGCAGTGGCAATTTTTTAAACTAAAGGCTTCCATACAGATGTTTGTTTTATGGAAAACTATTTGGAAAATATTTTCTATACATTTAAATGCTGAAGCATGTATGATTCTTTTCTACTTCTCTTTGTATATTTTTCGGTTTGATACAAAAAGGTATATTATCTTTCGTATGTTTATTTGAAAAGTAGATTCTATCTTGAACAAAATCAGGTTTTACATGAAATTGAATGGAATATCAATGGGACTGTTTTAAGTATGTTACATGTCAACAAACTTCTCAAGCACAACTTGAAATTATCTATCAATCCATTAACCATGCAGTACTTATTACAATAATCTGCAGAGATTCTACAAACTTTAATATTGCATATGGCGTTCTAATATTTTTGGCCTAATTCAGTTCTTCAGGAGGCTATGAAGCACCAGCAAAAAAATTAAAAATGAAAAAGGAGAGGAGGGGGGGGGGGGGAGGTGTTCAAACTTCAAACCAAGTTGTTAGATTTTATGATGTGTAGTATTTCTTTGTGAACTTTTTTCTCACATTGACTGGCTGAAAACTTGACAAGGCAGATCATGACTCCTTTTCTGACAACCATACTTGCTGATAAATATGTAGCAGTAGATGCAGCTGGCTTATTGATTTCAACATTGCAAGTAATGTTTCCTTCTCAAATACTGTCTCTTTTTCTAACATGTTATAGTGCTCTTTTGTCATTGTCACTCCTTTCTCTCACCAAAAAAGAGTTGTCTCTCCATTCTCTATCAACAGGTTGTGTTTTTTCCTGTGTTGGCTGGTGCATTTCTGAATCAATATTTCCACTCTCTTGTTAAATTTATCTCTCCTTTGATGCCAACCATGGCAGTAGCAACTGTGGCAATTCTTTGTGGAAATGCCATTGCCGAGAGCTCTTCAGCAATCCTTATGTCTGGTGGACAAGTAATTTTAGCATCATCTCTTCTTCATGCTTCAGGGTTTTTCTTTGGTTACATACTTGCAAGGATGCTCGGGCTAGACGTGTCATCATCGCGAACCATATCCATTGAGGTTGGCATGCAGGTAACTTAGTATTCTATAATTGCATTACTAAACACAGGCAGTTTGCTACACCTTTTTGTGATCATTGGTTCAAGTCATAATAATTTACCCCTTTATCCACTTCATATTGTAGAACTCGGTTCTTGGGGTTGTTTTAGCTACCAAGCACTTTGGAGATCCCCTAACTACAGTGCCTTGTGCTGTGTCAAGTGTGTGTCACTCAATCTTTGGTAGCATCCTAGCAGGAATATGGAGACGCTCTGTGCCTACTGAGATGGACTGAAAATATCTAGCATAACTTTTTGCATTGGGAATGTTTTATTATTGGCTTGTAACAGTTTCCTTCGCTAAGTAAAACTATTCATCTTGGTTGTTAAGACATCTGTATCTTTTCCAGTTGTGACAAGAACTGAATATTCAGTTTCATTTAGTTTAAGCAAATCCGCCTTCCTCAGTCCCAAACTCTTCCCTCCCCAGTCTCAGGTCTGAGTCCCCCTCCCTTCTATCATACTTTTTGCAAGTAACTGTTCCAATGACTGTCCTGTGTCTATGTTTCAGTTTATGCTGTCATTGATTTACCATGTTAGCTTTTTAGATGAAAGCACAAGATTTTATATTAAAAGCAGATTTGGCATCTTGATTGGATGCACAAACAAAAATAAAATGAAATGTTTAATTTTTTTTGTTCTCTTTAATTTCACTCTTTTAATGGAATCAAATGTGTCACTTTTTCAAAACTTTTTTGACCTTTTAAATGAACCGAACATAAAATAAAATAATTTGTTCTGTCCCTTTTTGACTCACCAACCACATGTTACCTTATGTTTAAGGAATTTTCTTTTACCAGAAAACACAAATTAACGTTTAAGAATATAAGTATATATATTTCTTGTGTGTATTTAAAAATGTTAAAAAATTTGTTTAACACAAACAATTAATAAAGTAAATATGCTTATGTAACTATTTATATTTAAAAACGTATTTAAAGGCTAATATAATATAAAATATTCAAAATTAAAATGGACCTAACTATATGACGACATTTTGGGTTTGAGCATCACCCAAAATTTAGACATTTCAGCATGATATAATAGGGAGATCTAACACTGACTTTTATGTTTACCCTAACAAGTTTTTTTTATTATGCTAATATTTTTAAGTTTCGGTAAAATTTGAAATTTAAAAAGTATAAGGATATTATTATTAAATAATTAATGGCAATTTTAATAAGTAAGAATAAATTAAAGAAGATATAGTTTTTTCAATTAGATAAAAAAATGCTAAAATAAATTATTTTAACAAAGATATGTAATCTTTATGTTTAATAATTTAATGCATTGTACTAAAATTTAAAATAAAAAAATAAATCAAAACTGACTAAGATTTTTTTATCTTTCAAAAATCAACATTTTAAATTTATTTCAAATTTAAATTGAGATTTAATAAAGTTAAGCAACAATATATATGATCATAAATAATATGAATAAAAGTAAACATTTAATATATAAAAAAAAGATAGAAAGTAAGCACTGAATAACCCTTGTGGGAGCAGTTACACTTACACCACTATCTAATTAATTAATGACACACGAATACGGATAAAAACAGGTGACATCATTCGTTGAAAGTTATGGATTAGTTTACATTAAATTTAAGTTACATTACGCTTATTTGTTAAATAAAATGAATAAACTTTTTAAAATTTTTATTAGATCATCTAAAAATATTTTAAATAATAATAGATTAAATATTTTAAGTAAATGTAAATAATAATATTATGCAGACAATTTTACTGTAAAGAAATAAGTTTGTTAATTTAAAGATAAATTAAGGTCTTTAGTCTACTTCAACGTAAATTCTTATCAATTTAAAATACTTAATGAGTTTTTAAACAAGTTTATAGGTTAAATTTAGGTCTTAAATTCTCAAATTAGACTGGATTCATCAAGCCATACAAAGTTTTGTTTGACCCACCTATTATTACTCCTAAATCTGAGTGATCTTTAAAAATTTAGAACACATGTTTAATGTCATTCTTATTATCAGTTTAGAGAAAAAATTATGTAAATTAATAAATTCAATTATTTGACTAAAATTATTGAATAATATTTTTTAATTTATCCTTTATTAGTAGGTTTTTATTTAATATGTAAACTAATAAATTAGAATTATCATTTATTTTACTTAAAAAATATATGAACAAAAATAGAAAAATAATTAATATTATTTTAAATTTTTTATCAATAAATAAATTTGAACTCGTTTTTTTATTTTTTCTCTGAAAAATAATATTAAATAAACACCTACATGTTGTCATTTATTTTGAAATAAAAATAATTTAATATTTGTCTTTTACAAATTATTATGATCCCTAATAATATATTATAATACTTTATCAAAAAATTATTTTTTGCATTAATCATCCTCTTGTAGTGGTACTAATATATTGTTTATACGAATGTAACTAAGGAAAGATATAGAAAAATGTCTCTCAATTTATTTGAATAATTACTAAAGATGTTAAAAAAGTTAAATTAAATTGTATAAGTTTTAAGTTAATTAAAAAATTTAACTCAAAAAAATTAAATATTTTATTTCATTATATTTTTTGACATAAAATTAATTATTAATATTTTAAATTTTGTTATAAACAATATTTTTTAAAATAAAAAAGTAGAAAATAGAAAGCTAACTCCTCCCTCCCATTTCATTCTAAGAGAGTTTTTTTTTAATTATTAAATACGTTTTTGGTCATACATTTTTGCAAATTTTTTGCTTTAGTTTTCTTTATTATTATCTTTACATTTTTTATTTTTATTTGTTACATGTGTTTAGTTTTGATCCCTTTACTAATACAGTCTCATATACGATGTCACAATTCTTAACTAGTCACAACTCATGTCATATTGTTTAAAACTCGTAAGGAAACATATAATATTTTTAACTTATTTTTAATTTTTTTCCTTCTATTTATTTTTTATAAATCCAAAGAGAAGGTAAAGTAAAGGCAAAAGAACCAGCTTTTCTGGTTAACTGTAAGAATTAAAATTTATGCAGTACTAAAATAAAAGAAATATCAATAATATTCTCTTTGACACATTTTTTCAAAGATATTTTATATTATTAAATATAAATTAAATGTATTTTGTATAATTTTTATTAAATTTCAGTCTATAAAAAAGTGTGTTAATATTATATATATATATATATATCATCGATATATTTATTCAATTTTTAACGGAGAATTTAATCAAAGTTTGTGGCTAAAGTCGTAGTTCTCATTTTGTATTATCGTGACCGCAAGATTCAAACATGGGCTTATCTACACGGCTGCGCCTTGACATTTTGTGTCTTGTTTTAACTTGTATTTTGGAACATGCTCGTTGGTCTTATATTCCATGGAAAGCTCTGTATAGAGCACGTTTGATTTTTTATGAAGTTCACATCCTGTTGTTTCATTCACTTAGAGGAAATTCAAAGGATATCAAAATGTTTTTAAGATAACGTTCATTTGGATACTGGAGCTTTGTACTTTGGGACAAATTTGACTCTTTATCTAATATAAATTATTTTTATTTATTATTATGAGAATCATAAATTTAGACCAGGCAATAATAAATACAGTCAAAATTAAAAGTTAATTGATGATTACACAATCACTTAAAATATTATATACATATATAACTTTTAATTTTAATCATTTAAATAAAATCCAATAGTATATGTTTATGATTCTGATTCTTATTTATGTTGGTATATACTTAAATGTAAACCAAATCAGTTTCCCCTCAAATCCTTCCAATTTTGATAGATTATTTGTCAACAAAGAATAATAAAATCCACAAAAAAAAGTTTAAAATCAAATTATTAGTTATTATACTTTTTTCTTATTCGGTGAATGCATTTGGATAAGTCATGTTAGACTTTCATTCATGAATCTAACACATGTCATCTCCAAAACATGCCACGCATTACGTACCATATCCTATAAATACCTGCACAGCTAGAAAGAAAACACAGCTCAACCCATTTACCAAAGCCATAAATCCTCAATTAAAACCATTCTCTATAGTTTGAGTAACGTTAATTATACACACAAACATGGGTATTAAAGCAAGTCTTAGCCTTGTTGTGTGGCTCTTAATTGCCACAACAACATTAGCTCAATCCAATAATGCCCCAGTCCTTGACACAAAAGGTACCCCTCTTGAGCGTGGCAAAAAGTACTACATAAAACCTGCTATAACAGATAGTGGAGGGCGTTTCACTTTGATAGATAGAAATGGGTCATGCCCTTTATATGTTGGTCAAGAAAATTCAGATGCATCAAAAGGTTTACCCGTTATCTTCACCCCTTTTGCTAAAGAAGATGTTGTTCTGAAGGTGAATAGGGACTTCAAGGTGGCATTCTCAGCTGCCACAAAGTGTGTGCAATCCACAGAATGGAAGTTGTTGGGTGAGAAGGATCCTAAGAGTGGAAGAAGGCTCATTATCACAAGCAATAATGGAAGTTACTTTAGAATTGTGGAGACCCAATTTGGAGGTATATATAATATTCGGTTTTGTCCTACCGATGTGTGCCCCTTGTGTAAGTTTAATTGTGGCACTGCTGATGGTTTGCGTGAAAATGGAAAGATTTTATTGGCCTTGGATGGTAATGTGCTCCCAGTTGTTTTTGAGAGAGCATAATATGTGTAGCTTCTAGTAAAAAATTTGTGTTTGTGTACTTGTAATTGTTTTCTAATGGTTGGAGCTACTATGACCATCCGCATAAATAGATATGATCATAAAAGAAAAGAACGATGAGTTTATTTCTTGTTTTCTTTTTCTTAATTAATAGAATAAGGCTCCTACTCAAGTTGTTGTATTCATAATTACGTAATTAAAAAGTCAGTGTATGTGTTTGTGGTGTCTAGTAGAAAATGTGGCTGCCGAGTTGCGTTTTTGTCATGGTATCATCGTTCAATCAAATTTCATCACATCTTACTTTTCTACTGTTCTTGGGAGTGAAAGTTTGTGAGAGCATATACTTCATTATTTTAAACTGGGGAGGCTACTTTTCTAATGTGAATTGGGTTGTGATATTAAGTTGCATGCATGGCTGAAATTTTGTTAGCCCAATCCTAATTCATTTAAGAGCTTTGGAGCAACCGTGTTAGCTTATGAATTCATTTTTTTTTTAAATTTATAATATAATCAATAGTACAATAACTAATATGTTTATAATATTTGTATAAAATTAATGATTTGTAATCATATATATTTTAACAATCTTGAACTCCTCACTAACATTGTGTCTCAATATTTAATATATTTATAATTTAATGAAACTTTTATAAATATCTTTAACTCTTAAACTTCTTTGTTTATTATCTTTTAACATGAGAAGATCTAACATAATCTAACAATTTTTTTTATAAAAAGGATCCAAAATTTATATAAAAAATAAGCCATCTAATTAGTCTTATAAATAAAGATCTAAATATTTTGTTTTATTGAAAGAGATGTCTACATTAATGTCTGACGGTGTTTTAAGTAAGATTATTTCTTATAAAAGAAATTTGTAAAAAGAAATGTTTAGTTAGAATTAATTTTGAGAAAATAATATTTTCAAAATTAATAAACAATTTAACGATATACTATTTTAAAAATAAGCCAAATTAATCACACAAAAATACAGAGTCTTTATAAATATAATTAATTTAATGAATTTAAAATATTATTAAAATATTTTTGAGTAAAACTTGATTGTTTTATCATCGTTTTAATTCATTGCACATTTTTTATAAATTGTATACTGTATTCGCAAAAAAATCAGAGTTGTTAAGTGGTAAGTGGCATGCACACAATAAATCGATTACGTCATATATGGAAGGCCGAAATACGATCGATCTTCCTCAGATTCTGGTGGCAAACTAAAGGCGCAAATTGTGCCCCAAAAAAACTAAAGGCATGTTGTTATGATTATGACAATAAGAAACCTAAAATAAAATCAAGATAGATATTCCTTTATATATCCAATCATCTATTTCTATCATTGCCCTTTTGTTAAAGAAACAGTGAAAAGATCACAGTAGTTTAACCTATGGCCGATTTGCCCACAATATTTTGGTGCCCGGAAGTTGGATATTTTGGCAAGTTGCTCACAATAATAAATATGGTACACCCAATTCTCAAATCAAATCAATGAAATTTATATTTAATTTTTTGCAAATATAAAATTAAACCCTAATTAAATTGTATTGGAAAGGTAAAATTTACTTATACCATCTTTACGTGTCGAAAGAAATTAATTTTCTCATGTGAATTAAAAGACTATAAGTTATCCTTAATGTAAAAACAAAAATAATTTTTTTTTTCCGGATCTAAGATATGTTTTGGTGAAAGGGCGTGATTTTTACTTAGAGAATATGTTATTTCAACGTATAAAAATTAATATTGTGTCCTCTAAATGTATGAGAAACATTTCCCCTTTTTTTTATGTTGGCGCCAAACATTGTATCATTGTTTGGTTTATGTCCTTACAAAAGGACACGGTGGATGAAGTGTCGGTTTATCCATTCATTTCCACATATTCCAGTTCTGTACCATACCTTACCTCTTGTGTCACTCCTTTTCTTCTTCTCTCACCGTTTTCCCACCACTTCCATCTTCATTCACCGTGCTTTCGACACTCCTTCAGGAAAAAATCCTTAACTTCACCTACCCTTTCGCTTCTTTCGTTCATTTCTTAGGCCACCAAGCACAATTATGTAAGTTCTGGCTTCCTTATGTTAATGTGATACTGTAAAATATAACCGCGGTATATATGTTGCTTTGCTTGTTTCATAAATGTAATTAGTGTATCATCACTCAGAAATACATACTGTTTTTTCATCATAACTTCTACAATCAATTAGTACAATTGCTAGCTAATCTGTTTCTTGCAAATTTCACTAGTTCTTTATTCAGAGTTCATGGAAGCTTTAGAGGGTAAATCTTCGTCTGGGTATGGCAAGCCTCCGTGGGTATTTAGAGGCAGGTAAGTGTGCAAGTGTACCAATTTCTTTTTGATGTTCTGCTCTGTTATTGTCTCTGTGGGTGGGGTTTAACCAAGTGTGTATTTAGAAATAGGATGAAGTAATTGTAAACGTATATTCAATACAAAAATTAACTTTGTAGCGTTGAAGAAGTAAACGTGGAATCATGATCATTTAAACACGAATACAAACAAGTTATAACTAGTTCTGTTTTTGGGTTTGTCAGTGCGTGGTATCAACTCCACCTTGTGAAGGCAGAGAAAGCTCGAGCATGCATTCCAAAAGAATTTAAATTGGTTGAAGCTTTTGGGTAGGTACTTGTTCTTATCAAACTTGCTTTAGATGGGTCACTGCTGGGATTAGTTTATGCAATTAAAAGGACAAGTGGTTTTATGCTAGTTTATTTCCTAATTGAATTATATTATCTTGCTTTCAAAATGAGACAATTAATTTCATATATAAATGAGTGATTGTATGAAAAACCGCTTGGTTGGAATTGTTTCAAGAATTCAATTGTTTTGCTCAATCGTTTTGTGTATATTCTTTGATGACTTGTACATTCAAGCAATTTTATATATGATTTTCTAATGATTTATTTTAATTCTAAAATGGAAGTATTCTAAACACGCGGTTGAGGAGTGGAGTGAGAAGAGGGGTGATGTAACATAAAAGATTATTTTTGAAACTTGTGATTGCTTAGTTTCTTCATTACTTCAGGTACACTCTAGGTGGCTTCTTTCTAGCCAGTTATGAGGACAGTCCCGTTGGAGTCTTTGATGAGGTGATGCTATTTTTTTACTCTCAGCTTTTGCTTCAGATGTTTTATGAATCACATTTCCTTAAATTCTGGGTCCTTGGAAATTAAAAAGACATGGTATTTTCTTTTTATCAATTTTGTTAATCTTAAATCTCAAATATAATAAATATTATTAAATTTTTATTACTGCAATGTGTTGCTGACATAATAACTTTGTGATGGCTAGCAGCTTGTTGTGATTGCAGGACTTGTATGGAACCGCCCAACATCCTGCGCGTATGTTCCCATTTTTCATCTCTTATATTATTGCAACTTTTTAATTCTTCCATTATTTAATAAACTGTGGAGAAAAATAGGCTGAGTAGCACTGAAATGGAACATGGTTATAGTTCCAAAGTCATAAAAATATTTGTTTTCAAAGGTTGTTTTTGAAGTCGTTGTAGTTTTGCATGTGGGCTGCTGCTGTTACCTGTTAGTTGACCAATCAAAATGAGTTTGGCTTAGCCTGTGTAGATCCCACATATGTTCAGCTTAACGTAATTTTTAACATTTTTTAACTACATTTTTAGTTATTAATTAAAATTTAATTATAAAAAAAATTATATTATAAATAACCATATACATAATTATTTTATTTCTTATTTATTATCTTAATAAAAAGTTAAAGAAGAGATTTTTTGTGAAAAATGTTATTAATACATGCATATTGTAATTTTTAATAAATTTTTAACTAATACTTTTATGATATTGATTAGGAAAACTTAGACTTAAATAAATGTATTACAATGTCTCACAATAAATAAAATTAAAAAAAAATTATTTGGAGTCTTGCAAACCTGTATACTCTTAGTATTTGTCAAATAATGTCTTAAATATATATTTTTTATTTTGTGTTGTTGTGAGTTTTATTTTATTTTATTTCTTTTGAACATTTTTTATTTTGGTCTTTATATTTTTATGAATTTTTTATTTTAGCTTCTCTCAGTGATATGGCTAGACAAAAAATTAACTCATGACAGTATTTAGTTAGTCACATAAGTGAAATAAATCAAAATAAAAACTCACAAAAATGTAAGAACCAATGACATATTTAAATCTATATATATATATATATATATATTATAAAATTCATACGATCCATTCTCTTGAACATGCGCATAAAGATAAGCTGTACACAATTTTCTCTAATATAATGAATAAATCTAAATCATCTTAGTCATATATAGTTTGATTTATTTTAAAAAAACAATTATTATTTTATTTGCTTCCTAAGATTTTCTTAAAAAAATTCAAGTATTACTCAAATTTAAGCATTATCAAACATGTACTAATACTTTTTTTCATAAAATTTTATTATGTAAAAATTTATTTACTTTTTGTATTTAAAAAAAAGTCAATGCATATATTTTTATCAATATTTCATTTAATATTAAGAAAATTATTAAGAAGAATACGCTGAGCTGACTAAAGAATTATAAATGACACAGATTACTTCATCATCCTTTGTAGTAAAATAATGATACATTATATTTCAATTAACAAGCCATTATGTCATAACACTTGGTTGAGGTTATTCAGTAGACTTTGAAGCCCATGTTAATCAACGAATTATATGAAAAATTGCTTATCAGTGTTTTCAGAGCTGTTAACATTTGCCTTATATATATCGATGAATCATAGCGGATTAACTCTCTGGATGCCTTTCTCTTTTGGTGCTATTCTTCTTCCTTTCTTTTTAAAGCATGTTGCATTTTTCTTTTTGAAATTAGTTTATGCTTTAACTCCAAATTCTTACGTTTGATTAAATGATTAATCATAACAATTTTATGAAGCATTAATTTTAGGAACGATTGTACAGCAAATTTTTAAAAATTTTCTTTTTGTTGTATAAAGCTGTGATTTTAACTCTTTTTTCTTTTTGTTAAAAGATGGGCATCGAGAGTGTACGTGAATAACGATGAGGCTTGTTGTCACGGAAGAAAGGTAGGAGAAGAAAATTCCCAGAAGCATACTAAATAATGTTTATAAAAATTTATTGAAATTTACCTTATCACAAAGGAGGAGAGTGAAGTTGTATGAGCTGTTCAAAATAATTCATAAATAATGTTACATATGTAATTGACATACATTTAGGTAGCATTTGACTGTGGATAGAATAAAATGAAACGCCCTGTTATGTTCTGCTCCCCTTTATTCTACTCTTTTTGGTAGAATCAAGATTTACCATTTTCTAACTTTGTTTTATTTTATTCTATGAAGTACCAAACGTAGAATAGAATCAAAATGTTGTGTTATATCTCCTTTTAGCACTTCTGTCAAATGCTAGTATGCTACCTTAAGCTACATGAGAAATGCTCTCTTTAGTAGGCCAATCACCATGGTTTGAGATAAACTTTTGTAATTGAGTTTGTTGTTATATTTTCATTGATGTATTTCGCATTTTTTCTTCAGGAGGTGGGGCTACCAAGTCAGATGGCTAGGTTTTCCAAGGTAATTCTTTAGATTTAATGCATCATTGTAGTACAATCTTTTAGGTTGATGTATTGCTCCATGTAGAGATCTCACGTCGATTTTAAATACGGTCAAAATAGAGTTTATAAAGGTTAAAATAGTATATTTTTTTATGACTTAGCTTTTTACGTTGAGTTAAGCGTCCAATTTAACATAATTTTAGAATCTACTGTAGATTTGATATTGCGTTGTGTGCCAATAAGGAAGATCTAAAACCACAGGTTTAGACTACAGTAACTTGATACGAGAAAAAAAATTGAATTCTGTAAAGTCTAGGCCATTTTGGGCATGAAGATTGCATACATTGATTTGTTCATTCTTCGAACAGACAATTAAAGCAATCTCAAAACAACCGAGGGGCAGAAGGAGTGGATTTTTTAATATGACTGGAATTGATGCCAAGTCCTCCAATCCAACGGATCACCTGAATGTTCAAGTAACCAAAATCAAATGTCTTGATGCAGAAGATACTTGTAATATTAATATTAGTCTCACCAGTCCAGGTGAGTGGATTTTATGATTTGATTTGATTGAAAGATACATCTCTGGTTATATTTTGCACTTGCCTATGCCTCTTGTTGCTTTAGTCTCTTTCAGAATGATTGCTTAATTTTACCTTAAAATAATCAATGAATAATTGAGTATGCACCAACTTGGGGTCATTAATGAACAAAAATTTCCCATAGAGTGATTCTGCTTATAGTTATTCAAAATGCTTGACATGGTGTTAATAGTGCTAACAATAGCGTGAGGGTAGAAATTGCTATGCACCACAATAGTTTTCGTTGTGTTTTATTTCTGTAGTTTCCCTCTAATTGTTATTGACACAATAAGGTTTTACTAATTACAAGCCTGTTTATATCAGTGCCTGCATTGAGCTCTGGCCACTGGATGGGGCCAACAATCAGAATGACACTACCAAGTTTTAGGTAAATTAGTAGTCCACATTCTGCTACCAGAGTAATCCATAACCTATATTCATTATTTTGTTCCAAAATTGCAGTGGTGGTACAGAATATAATCCTAATCTCCTAAAGTACTCTTGCCAGATGGAATGCAGGTTTTCTTTTCTACTTCAAAAGCACGAAAAAAAACCAATCAATGCAAGTTTTCCTTGCATTGCATACTATTTACATGTTATGATTTTTGACATATGAGCCAATCAAGAGTCTGAAATAGCTTCTCAATGAATAGGGTGCAAGCATTGCAACCGTTGAAGGTTTCGGGAGCGTTCCCTTCAACAAATGATGACAATGAACAATCTTTAGAAGGGTGTGGAGGCATTAGCAATGAGGCTGAAGATCATAGAAATGATGGACAAAATTTCAGCACTTGTGTGATGTTATCAAAACCCATATTAGCACTCAAGTTTAGTCAAATGAAGATGCAGGTTCAAGCTCCCATTGTACTTTCCCACTACTCAAATTCTTTACAAACTACGGTCAGTTCTGTTCCATAAAGCAGCTCAGTTTTGCAAATGCAGAACTGATTATTTGTTTTGAGATTTTTTGCTGTAACAATTATTTATTAATGTAATTCCCCTCTACTTTTTTGCTATCTTGTAGCTTCAACTTTTCAGAGCTAACAAAAGAAAGAAACACATAATAGAAACTTATTCTAATATATTACCGATTATCAAAATTAAGAGCAGGCAATATCTTCCGAATTTGCATTAAAATGTAATATATATATTTTTTCTCAATAAAAATATAATATTTTAGATGTTTGAACTCAGCCTAATAACACCGTTGAAAAAAGTAAAATAAAACAGACGTGCTAATTTTGTTTTTACTAAGGGTACTGGATAGAGGATCTAGTTGCCTAAATAAAGGCATAGTTTTATCCATGATCTTACCGAACCTTTATGAGCCCAAAAGCCCGTTAGATTGTTTAAGGTAAAAGATGTAGGTGAAGGTGTTGATTCAATGATGAGGGGAATGTGAAATATACGCATAGGCACTATATATATATATATATTCTAACAAAATAATGATGTATGGAAAGTGTGTATCTGATGATAGAAACTTGTTTATCTGCGGGTAAGTCATGATTCTTAACCGCTGAATATTCTATCACAGAAGGTGTGAGTTGGGGGCTTAAATTATCTGCTTTTGGACGCAGGAAATATTGTAAGGAAGGTACATTGGACTTTAGAGTGCCTTAAATGCTCCTTGGCCCAATAAAATATTTTGTGCATGTTTAGATTTACATACTTGTTGACAGAAACAAACGATTAATGTGGGTCCAATTCACACCATAATGAGTGTTTCAAGGTTGAAAAATTAGTAAACATGAATTTAACATAAAAAGTTACGACTGATGGCATTTAAGTAAATATGAATATATAGTCATTTAAAGGTGAATTTAAACACACAAAAAATAACTTCTATCCATTGTTGTAGTTACACAGTTTTTTACGGTAAATCCGAACACCTACTTAGAGAACCAAATGGCATAACTTGTTCACACCAAGAACAGTACACTAACATGTAAAAACATGTTATCTGCATTCTAGTTTTTACTTTCCCTTTCCTACATCTTTTCTATTCCTCACTTTTCACAGCCATAAATTCCATCCTATATGATTTAAATTTTCTAAGCTCAAATTCTGTCATTCCATTATCTTCTTGTCGTAGAATTCATTGGTCTTAGCTGCTGTAAGGAGGAGGGACATATTTATGTGGCAAATAGCACAGTACCTGTGAAAAGAAAAAACACAACACAGGAAACAAAAACAAAAAATTAGCCAAATAGAATGTCATTTGCAATAAAATACTAAAATGCTATTCTAAGAGAGAAACAAAGTTCTCATAAATAAATTGACACGTAACATAACTGAACAGTTTTATTATAACTTCATATGGGTAACATATTTTTACCTAGACTAGAGTGAAGATACTATCACTAAATAAGTAGTTAGTTTTGTTTTCAGTTTTTTTTATTGTTCTTACTTTTTAATTACAACTATTTAGTTTTCTTTTTTTTAAAGGAAAGGAGTTGATACTGAGTAGACGTAAAAAGGATGCCTAATGTTTATCTTGCGTCACTTTCCCCTTACATTTCTTTTGTGCTCTTTGTAACATGTTTATGTCGCATATAAAACTGTTTTATATGTATGTTCGATCGGTTTTTAGATAACGGATTATATTTAGTGAGATAAGGCTTATATTGTTATTGTATTTTATTTTCAGATAATATTTGTTTATGTTTTTAATTAGATGAATAACTTGTAAATTTAATTTTATTATAAACAAAAAAAGTCATGGATGAAAAGCACAACCTACCTGAATTATTTAACCATGGCCATGATACTCTGTAGCGTGAAAAAGTAACAAAACAAGTAATATTCAAGAAATGTTCGCATGCCTTAACATTGGTTAATTTTAATGAGGTTGTCATCTTAAACATTCTTTAGACGAGGAATGAAACAAGGAAGAAAAAAATAAAATAAAATAATGAATTGGATAATAATAATAATTATTAGGGTGATGTAATATTTTGACATTCCTTAAAAGGGCGTCTTTTGGGTGTAAGAAAAAAGGAGATAAGAAAAAAAAAAGAAAAAACAAGTGATGGAATAAACTCTTTTTTTTTGTGTGTAAATTAGTTGCCAATTTGATTTCGCATTTGAATAAACGCAAACATTGGTCAAATTTAAGCCCCACTTGTACTCAACATCATGTCCACCAATTCCATGACAAATTATATATGAATATTGAAAGTCACTCAACACAAAAGTCCTCACCAACCGTCATATTACACGTTTATCATCCTCCTAAATTGAGATGATTTTGGGCATTTAATAATTCCAGGATTGGCAAGGTAGGTGTGGGAAGAAAATATAATAAAATGTGAGTCACTAGTTATACTGAGAAGCGCATAGGGCAGACACTTAACCATGGAAGAGATGAAGAACCTATCAGGGACTTCTCTTCTGGTACCATCAGTTCAAGAATTGGCTAAGAAAAAGTTGTCTATAGTTCCACAAAGATACACTCAACCTCAACATGAAGACATTGTGGTCATATCTGAAGAAGGTAATAGTAAACTTGACATTCCAGTTATTGACATGCAGAATTTGCATTCTGTAGAATCTGGGAGTTCAGAATTGAATAAGCTTCACCTTGCTTGCAAAGAATGGGGATTCTTCCAGGTATTTATAAATTCTACTTTCTATCCTTCAATTTCTTTGTAACGCATCTTTCTGTTTGATTATGGATTCTAGAAATTTTATATGAATAAAATAAATCATATAAAAGGTAAAACTATGACAAATATATTTTGAAATATTAGTTATTCTTTTAGCTGATAAACCATGGTGTTAGCTCTTCCTTGGTTGAGAAAGTAAAATTGGAGATTCAAGATTTCTTCAACCTTCCAATGTCAGAAAAGAGAAAGTTTTGGCAGAGTCCACAACACATGGAAGGGTTTGGACAAGCATTTGTTGTGAGCGAAGACCAAAAACTTGATTGGGCTGATCTCTTCTTTATGACCACTCTTCCAAAACATTTGAGAATGCCCCACTTGTTTCCACACTTTCCTCTTCCTTTCAGGTTCTCTTTCTCTTATACACGTGTGTGTCTGTTTACATACTAATTACTTCAAAATTTTTTTTTGCATGTCTAGCTAGTAACTACATGCTCTTTGTCATGTAGGGACACTTTAGAACATTACTCACAAGAAATCGAAAAACTAGCCATGGTTATCGTTGAACAAATGGGAAAAGCTCTAAAGATGGAAGAAAATGAAATGAGAGAGTTATTTGAAGTTGGGATGCAGTCTATGAGGATGAACTATTACCCACCATGCCCTCAACCAGAAAAGGTTATTGGCCTCACACCCCATTCAGATGGAGTTGGTCTCACTATACTCCTACAAGCCAATGAAGTAGAAGGTCTCCAGATAAGGAAAGATGGCATGTGGGTCCCTGTCAAACCCCTCCCTAATGCCTTCATTGTAAACGTTGGCGACATGCTGGAGGTAATAACCGTAATATATACGTATATGTCCATATTACATTCTTATCACACTTTCATAGTATGGTTTGACCAGATTCCTGAAATTCTACTATTATAATTGAGTGGGTGTTGGGTAAAGAGCAACATTTTAATTATGTTATAGCATTATGTGTGAATACTAACTATCAGAAGCAATTAGGCGTTTGGTAAGGTGGTTGCGAAGTCCAGGGTAAGTATATTTGTTCAAGTTAGATCAAAAGGAAGTTTCCATATCCATGTCATCTTTTCTGCGTATCTACCTCAATCTAATGCGCCCCAAACTCAATACAATGCTTTAATATTTCAAAATTTGTAATTATGCTTAAAACTTGAATTAATAACATATGTATAACTTGGTAATATTTTAGATTAAAAAATTATTCAAAATTTTATATCAGAAAAATTCCTTGTATTATTATTATTATTCATTAAATCTTAGTGTGAATTATCAATATTAGAATATAAAATCAGGTGACTATTTTAAGGTGTTCATAAAATTTTAAGAAACTTTTAATCTTTCACATATGTATATACGTATATATAAAATATTTAGTGACAATGTGAAAGAAGAAATTAATCTCATTTATATAATATCATATATAAATAGTTAACATTATTTTAATAAATATAATTTTAATAATATATCGTGATTAATTACATGTTGAAAATTAACTATTCTCACTCTTAGTTAATACGTTTCATATGTATTTGGACCAAATTTATTATTTTTTATTAATTCCAAAACCCACAATTGGTTATATTAAATTTGATTCAACTTAATGATTTTGCTTTGAGAAATTTTTAAATTGTACAAAAATAATTCTACAATTTTGAGAGAAATAAAAAGAGAGAAAAAAATGACCTATGATATATGATGTAATAGATAGAAATAAGGAGACAGGTACTATTACGAAAAGTATTGTAAAAATATGTTTAAATAGTATAACTCTTATTTTTGTTTGCATGTTTTACATGACAGATTATAACTAATGGAATATATCGAAGTATTGAGCATCGTGCAACAGTGAACTATGAAAAAGAAAGGATTTCAATTGCAACATTCCACACTTCAAGACATGATGGAGTGATAGGTCCTGCAGCAAGCTTGATCAGTGAGAAAACACCAGCACGGTTCAAAAGTATTGAATTAAAGGACTTCTTGGAGAACTTATTTGCTCGTAAACTTGAAGGAAAATCTTTCCTAGATTCACTGAGAACATAGCATCACCTTTGAAACGACTCATTTGCTTGTCATACTATGCTCTCATGTCATTGCTTGATCCTAGTCCAAGTGCGTGCCTTATTATTAGCTTGCTATTATTCCTTTTAATTTGATAAAGTATAATTTATTTAAAGTCTTCATATCCTAAACCTAAGACATATCTACAATATCAAAATGTGTGTCTTGAAAATTGACTCTTTTTTTTCTGTATACTTAGATGATGAAATGTTTTCTTTTGTATATATATATAGACTTTTTACACTAGTGTAACTCTAAAATTGAAGGATGAAATTTAAAAACTCTCTTCTCTTCTTTCGTGACAATCACTATAGTTAGAATTGTGATTGCCCCTTTACCTAAATTTGCATTTGAATATCAAAATCCAAAACTAAGAAATCTATACAATAAACTAAAAAAAAAATAAAAATCGTTACCTCAATGAAAGCAGAATGAAAGGTAGTTGAAGATGACAGATTATTGTGCCATAGACAAGTGATATAAAAATGCAAAGAGTCAAGGATGGTATAGAGTGCAATTAGAATCTCTAGTTTATCAACGAAGATGTTGTTGACAATGGCAGGTGAATTCTTTGATGAAGATGACAAAGGAGGAGATAGAAATTTAAGGGTTAAGCTATGTTGAATGGAAGTTTAGGGTAGTAGAGATAGTTAAGGTTGCTATGCAAAGAAGAACATTGAAGCACAGAGAAAATTAAAAAGGGAAGAAAGATCAGTTAGTGTTATCAAAGGATCATCCTTTAATATTGCTTACTTAAACAAGGGCTGCACTGCATATTTTTGTTCAACATTTTTGCTTACAAACATCATCAAAATGTGTTGGTAAAAAATTTTAAATTTTTTAAGAAATTGAAGGTAGCATTGGAGGGAGATTTGTTGTTGCTAAGGGGCAAAGGAAGTAAAGGGTTTCGACTAGGGACCATGAGGGAGTGAAGCATTTAAGATAGCATTTGATGTATATAAGTGATCAAAGCTTTCCAATAGCTATAGATTTAGGCAACAAATTTTAACTCTACATTTATTTTCATTATGAGATGCGGTTAAGGATGAAAATGGATTAATGCTCTCACAGGGCCTTATAACCTATATTTTTAAAGCTTAACTTTACTTGACTTATTTAAATTCATAAAATTTATAATAATATATTAAATAATTTTATATAAAAATTATAATATTATATTATATTAAATAAATTAAATTTTAAAATAAATAAAATATTAAATTATAAATTCTAATATTTTTCGTTTGAGTTAAAGAGTGTTTTACTATATATCTACTAATAGATAGAATCATATTTATTAGAGTCTTTTGTATTACTATTATTTGATATATCTTATATGCATATAGTTAGTTTGCATTTTTACTGTCTTGATTATGTTTATCATTAGTCTGTCTCATTTATCATCTTTTTGTATACTTGTTTATATTATATATAATTCTTTTTCATTATTTTTTTTTCTATTGTTAGGTTAACAAAATGTCTTCTCTAATTGAGAGTAATAAAATAATTTTATCTACTCTTGTTGCACTTGCACTTGTAAATGATTAATTATAATTGAATTCAATAATAACATATTCACACCATATATAGTCACCGAATAACTCCCACCTAACGGATACAATGTGTGCAGTCACAGATCTCTTAGCAAAGGTATTAGTCAGAAGTCGAGTTAGGAAGAGAGTGTGTGGCATATGGTGCACCCACGCTCATTGTTGATGTCACCACCACCCTTTTTTCCCAAGGTATTTCTACCGCCCCATCTTTCACACTCTAGTGTATCGTTGAACTATTCATAATTTCCAAAATATTCATAATCGCATCTAACATATCATTCACATACATTTCTAACCATTTAAATTATTCAATATCAAGCGATAACATGCTAACACATAATTTCATCTACAATCTAAATTACATACCAATATTCACATTCACACACGGCACGTATACCTACATCCAATTGCATTATATTCAAACACACATTATTTTCAACACGATTCATGATCAACACAAAATGTACATCAACACACATATATCTCTACATTTTATCCTAACCACATTGAAATAAATAGTCAAATAAACGAATACAAAGCACAATGAGATGGAGTAGAGTCTCCCTTACCTCAAATTGAAGATACAAACACGAAATCAACAAAGAACGTACTCTTTACACAAGTTTTGTCTTAAATACATGAAAATTTTCATGAAAAATCAGAAGAACAAAGAAGACGAATGAAAAAAATAATCTGTTCTCTTTTTTTCTCTATTTACCTTAGTTTATGTAGATTTGAACTATTTAGTTAACGTAACGTAAAATTTAAGTTTCAATTTTGATTTGAGATAAATATAAAAAAAATTTGAATATCAAATATATAAATTTAAGTTTAAATGTAATAAATTAATTTTAGTTTGTAATAAAAAACTTTCTGACTATTGAAGAAAGGGCATGAAGCTAAAGAATATATGTAAGGCAAAGTGTGTGTAACATCTCTAAAGTCTGAAGTTTTCTTCCTTTATATAGACATTAGTTTATCTTTTGGCTTGAATTTATAGTGACATGAACTACATTTGACGGTTGTAGCAGGTTTCAAGTAAATTTGACTTTTCCAAATCAAGAACTTTGATGCGCAAGTTGTGCTTATGATGAAATAGGTATTGTGGACATTTGTCCTCACTTAAGAAATCATTGGTTGTGGTTCAAGTGCTAACTTAACCGCGTTAAATAAGGGAGTGTTGATTGGTGGAGGTTTAACCACAACTATCTTTTGATCCAATGTTGTTTTGCATCACTTCAAATAAAACTTAATTTTTTTTGTTCGACAAAATTTTATAGTTTTTAGATATTGTTAATATTTATTTTTATTAAATAAAAATTTATATTTAAGTTATAATAAATTATTAAACTATACATAGTATATAAATTCAAAATAGTTATTTTATTAAATAATTTCTTTAATATATACTTAATGAGATATATGTTAAAAATTATTTTTAAAAGTATGTGCTAACTTTTTTTAAAATTTTAAGATAATCATAATTTTTTCAAACCCCAGAATGTATGTATCAACGTCCTCGTCGGTTTTCATTTCCAAGTTTGCCTCTCCTTCCCCTTCCGCCGGCACAATGAGGTAGTAGGAAGTGTCTCGAGAACCTTTAACCATTATTAGTTACCGTTTGAAATGCAACTTCAGAGTTGAGTTTAGGAAGAAACGGACGGAAGAGATAAATATTTTATTTTTAAATAGTTATTAATATTTATAAAATAAATAAAATATCAAATATTAAATTATATTAATATGTTATTTTAAAAAGTAGAAAATAAAAATATTAATTAAAAATAAAAATTGTCTTCCTCTTCCTTTTCTAACTTTCAAATATATTTTAAGACGCGCACCTTTTCAATTTGTACTTTACTTTCGGTAGCGTGAATATTGTGTGCTAACTCTTGAATAAAAACACAGAATCAAACACACGATTAATTTGAGTGTTAAAGCTTCCATATTCAAAGCACCAAGAGAAAAGCATGGTGAAAATTCAAACAAATATTTTAGATGGACTAAGATGCTAATTTTTGTTGTTTTTCATTTTTATTCCATCTTTTAGGTTATGTATATGTCGTTGATCTGAGCCATCTATTTATTTATTATTTAAAAGAAGGGACAAGAGTATTTTGAACATGCATGCTCCCAATTATTATGCGGGCATTGAAGTCAAAGCCGTAACTTTTACTCAAGATTATGCGAATGTGTCACTAAAGCAGAATTGCTCGAGACTTTGTACAAATAATAGAAACTGGTGGGTCTCACTAAATACTTCTCACACCTAAATATTTTGTAGTCATCTATTTACTGTGCCTTTGAAATTTTTTAGTTACTTGATATTTAATGATTATATTATATTTCAATTATTTAAGTCGAGTTAGATAAATTTATTCACGGGATATTTTTATTATTTAACTTTTAGTCACGAGACATAAATGGGAGATAATTCTTAAAAGAAAATTAAGCACACCTTCTCAATATGTCTTCGATCGGACAAACACCACCTTTCTTTTAAAACAAAATGCATTTTTAGTTTTAAAAAAGTCAAGAGATGCATCTAAAACGATAACATCATATGATAATTATATGTCGAGACTCACATAATTTATTAGGATCAATAGAAGGACAAGGGAGGTTTTTAAAAAAAATGAAAGAGAAAAAAAAATATAATCGATAATGTTATTGAAAATAAAACAAAATTTTTATATATTTTTAGTGGATCAACTAATCCATACCATTCTAGTTTAATATGTGATCTTTTGAATATAAATTTTATTGCTTGTAATAATGTTATTCAGCTTAAATATAATTACCATGAATAAAATATATCTGTAGATCTACCTAAGTAAAAAATAAAGGTCCATTACTTATGATATCATTGCTTAATAATTAAGAAATCACATTGTTTTAAGAATTACTGACATGTATACAATAATATTTTTATTTTATTTTTATATTATTTAAAGATGTACACTACTTAAAAAAGTAAAAAAAAAATTAACAAAAATTAGTTTGAGTGACAAGCAGTTCAGTATTATTTAATTAAGGTTTCAAGAATCCTTGTGTATGCAAAGTACAGGATTAGATCCATATTAAACTAGATGGAAAACAAAACAAAAAGTACAAAAAAATATATAATTAAATACACATGATTTGAAAAAAATTATTAATAAATTGTTAAATTCTTCAAATATTTTGTATAAATTTGATTCTTAATTATATATGGGATAGGATCTATTGACACTAAGTGTAAGTCCTGGTGTCAATGGATCCTATCTTATTTTTAATTATTGGTAAGTAAATTTCTTTAGAGTATATAAACAAAATAAATATAAACTGTGTTTAAAAATTAAAGTATTAAAAGTTAGAAAATTGATATAAACAATGCTACACTATTTTACATTTTTTACTTCGGCACAAATTCATACAATTGCTCAAAACTTTAGAGAGAGATAATATGTGAATCATTCTTACAAATTAAAACTTTAATAAAATTTAATACCTTCTAAATTATAAATGAATGTAAGGATAAAATACTGTTTAACTCATAGTAGCATTTTAAATATCTTCTGTCTTGTTGTTTTTTTATGCTAATAAAGTTAATCATTTTCATAATTAAGAGTATTTTTTTTATATTTCTTTCGTTTTTTTTGTCTCTCTGTAAATTTTATATTACTTTGATCTTTTTATTTATTTATTAATATTTTGTTTATTTGAACGTAGACTATTTAGTTAATATAACATACAAGTTTAAATTTTAACGAGACAATGAATCAATTTTGATTTATAATAAAAATTTTATAAAGAAATTTTTTTTATATTTAAACATATAAACTCAAATTTAAATATAAAAATTAATTAATTTTATTTTATAATAAAAATTTATTAAAAATTTTTAAACTTCAAATTCACAGTTAATATTTTAGATAAATAATTTAGAGAGTTTTTTTTTGTTACCATAGTACAAGTTATTGAGATTTAAAAAAAAAAATTTTGCGTGAGACGTAACTTTTTTCACAATTCATATAGCTGTGAGAAATAAACCCAATAATATATTATTCAATAAATTCGTTTGAAAGTATTTTTTTTTATTTATAATGATTTGGTGTAAATGGCCTTTTGTAAAATGATATTATTGATAACTTTTTCACTAAGTAGAGCATAATATATATGAGTGGAGAGATGAAAATTTGCTTGATCGGATAAATTTTATACTTTTATTTTGTTTTATGAAAGTGAATACTTTTTTATTATTAAAAAAAAGTATGTAAGTTTCATTAAATATAACGTGAGTCCAAATTCTTTAATACCAGTCAACCTAATAGTAAAAATTCATAAAAAAAAAAAGGAGAGAGAGAAGGGATTAAACATAAACCAAAGTTAGGCCAGTCACCTAAACCGAAGGGCATTCTGAACAAATCCTTTATATATGCATTTGAAAATACAGTAAAATCACGATAAATTATATTTTAACATAAAAAATATTATTTACAACATTAAAATATATTTAGATTTGACTAAATTTAATATTAATGATCCTAAATCAGCAGCTTTACTACTACCTAAACTCTTAATGTCATGCCTACTGGTAAATCGATATTAAAACACACGTTGAGATATATTATTATTCGTAACTACTTTTACAGTTTATTAAAAGCAATCTTTTTAAGTATTTAAAAAATAATATATAATTTTCAAATAATAAAATATTTTTTATATTTTTCAGAATGAATATTATTTTTATTTATTTATCTTACAAAACTATATCAATAATAAAATTATTATTATTATTCAATAATTGTTTAATTGATTTTTGATTAATATTTTTAATCTTTTAAATACTTAATTAGTATACATATTTCATTTATTATACTTAGAATATTAGAGAAAAATAACAATCAATATTGTCGTAAATATTTACATAAAAAGTAAACTTAATTTAGGATAATACATTTAAGCCTAGTATCTTATACTAATGTATTGAGGCTATCCACCACCTCCCAATTCATATTTATACAAATAGATATTTGATGTTTCATACACGCATCATGGGAGTTTGCTCTTGTACCATGCCCTAGATAACACGTACACACAAGCATTGTACATAGGACAAAGTTGTGAGTTACTCGAAATTATATATATTGAGAATAACATACATAGGACGAAGGCTAGTTCAAATAATGGAAGAGATAAAGAACCCATCAGGGACTTCACTTTTGGTACCATCAGTTCAAGAATTGACTAAACAAAACTTGTCTACGGTTCCACAAAGATACATTCAGCCTCAACAGCATGAAGACATGGTGCTCTTCTCTCAAGATAATAGTATCCTTGAGATTCCAGTTATTGACATGCAAAGCTTGCTTTCTCTAGAATATGGGAGTTCAGAATTGAATAAGCTTCACCTTGCTTGCAAAGAATGGGGTTTCTTTCAGGTCTCTTTTCTCTCTTTGTCCTTCATTTTCCAAATAGCTATATATCACATATCGTTCTTTTGGACTTTGATTCTAGATTATTTTATATGTATTAAAAATTAATAAATAATAATTTTTAAAAATTAAGAATCATCATCTTTAATATCATAAATAGATTACTTTGATTCCTTATAAAAAAATATTATTATATAGATTCTTTTATTATGTGTACTTGAATAGAAAAACTAATTAACTAATATATAGCAGGTTATATATGCTGATAAATTCAAAATTTTGAAAATTATGAATTGATTTAAATAATGAAATTGTTAATCTTTTGGTAGCTGGTGAATCATGGTGTTAACTCTTCCTTGGTGGAGAAAGTGAAGTTGGGGATTGAGGATTTCTTCAACCTTCCAATGTCAGAGAAGAGAAAGTTTTGGCAGAGTCCGCAACATATGGAGGGGTTTGGACAAGCATTTGTTATGAGTGAAGACCAAAAACTTGACTGGGCTGACCTTTTTTACATGACCACCCTTCCCAAAAGCTCCAGAATGCGCCACTTATTTCCACAACTCCCTCTTCCGTTCAGGTTCTCTCTTTCTTTCCCTCACTGTAGTCCTCAAGTACTATTTGAGTGCTTATTTAATGTCTGTTTGATATAAACTTGAGTAAATATGATATTGATCAAATTAATTTTGAATGTTTTTAAGATGTGTGGATATAAATTAATTTTAACCACATATTTTTATTGGAATGTATGCTTGTATTGAAAAATGCAACAATTAATTGACTATCCAACTATAAAACAAGCAAGTCCTAGATCTTAGAATTCGCATACCTTCTTCACTTCTCTTTGTCTTGTAGGGACACCCTAGAGCTTTACTCACAGGAGATGAAAGATCTAGCCATGGTTTTAATTTTCCACATGGGAAAGGCTTTGAAGATGGAAGAAAAGGAAATGAGAGAATTATTTGAAGATGGGTTACAATTGATGAGGATGAATTATTACCCACCATGTCCACAACCAGAAAAGGTTATTGGCCTCACTCCCCATTCAGATGGAATAGGACTCACTATTCTCCTACAAGCCAATGAAGTTGATGGACTCCAAATAAGAAAAGATGATGTTTGGATTCCAGTGAAACCCTTACCTAATGCCTTCATTGTCAATGTTGGAGACATATTGGAGGTAATATATCCCTTCTTATTGTGCAATTTTACAATATCAACTGGTTCAAGAAGATCCATGAATTTCCACTTAGAGCATGCATGTTGAGTCCATAACTTGATTTCATGTTCATGTTAATTTATGAGTAAATTTTCACTTATAAGTGGATGTTCTAATCAATACTTTAATTAATATTGATATGTTTGATTTGAAATATATATTATAAAACATTTTAAAATTTTATGAATTTACATGTATGCCTTCTTCAAATTTTGTAGCGTTGTCAAAATATTGGGTTACTCTAATATCATTAGCTGAGTCATGATTGGACTGAAAGGGATAAAAACAAATTAAGAAGTCTTATTGTCAATTCATGAGTATGGAGTACCTTACTTGATTTTAATTTTATTTACTGATCATATTTTTACATGTTAGATTATAACGAATGGAATATACCGAAGTATTGAACATCGAGCAACAGTAAATTCTGAAAAAGAAAGACTTTCAATTGCAACATTCTATAGCCCAAATCAAGATGGAATGATGGGTCCTGCGACAAGTTTGATCACTGAACAAACACCTGCACAATTCAAAAGAATTGGAGTAAAGGAGTACTTTAAGTGTCTTTTTTCTCGTAAACTTGAGGGAAAGTCTTACGTAGACGCCATGAGAATTGAGCATGATCACCCTTGAAGCCAATCAAATTAATATCCATTTACTGCACTTTATGAAGTTAGTGAATTGCTGTTATTATGAAGTCACACCGGAATGAAGCCTTGTAAAACTAATGTTATAATCAATAAGGCCTAGCCAAACTGGTCATATTTTCTTGTTGATTTGCATTTGAATAATTAATATTGCAAGGAATAAACAATTCTCAGTTTTTATACTTTACCTTTATTTGACTCTCCATATTTTTTCTGTAATCTTTAGGTGAATTTGTTCCTTTTCGCACGACCTAGATTCATTTTGATGATTTTTTTCATCCAAGAAAATGAAATATCGATCGTATTAACTCTTCAAAATTATAAAAAAGAAATAATAGATATAAACTAATTAAATAAAAAATTTGTAATCTTTATGAGTCAGTGATTTTATATACATATACAGTATACAAATTATCATTTACTCATTTACTTACAAACAAAAATAATAAAATTTTATAATTATCTTTTATAATTTAATCTTGCTCTAATCAAAGTTAAATTGTTAATATATATTGGATAACCATACATACTAACAATAAAATAAATTATACTGGATTTGATGTATATTGATAATTTATATCAATATTTTTTCCTAACAATTTTTTTAATATGTATAACATACTGCATTATTAGTATAAACTTACATTATTTATACTAACATATTAGTGCGTGTCGGTTAGGAAACGACATTGATAAGACTATTTTTTATATATATGTTATTGATAAGACTAGCCTAATATCACACAATTGATAAATGACTTTTTATTATTATCATGATACGTGTATATATAATATCTCGAATTCGTATAAGTTTATTATAATAATTTTATTGCTGAATTAATCTCCTTATAAAATTAGTCAATAATATTTAACATTAAATTAATATTTGTCAAAAAAATTATAATACGATATATGCTCATTTTGAGTGAATACTTAACTTGTTAACTGGAAAAAAAAAAACCCTTAAAAGTTGAAAATATGATTCGCTTTAATTTTTAAATTCAATAGATGAAAAAAAACTAAAAATCTCTATCATTTATAATTTTATGAAACTATTTAATATTTTTTCAAAAAAATTAAATTGATTCAAACACTATAGTTATATAATATGTTGTAGGGTTGTCATAATCACGCATGGGAATGATATTAAATTATTGATATTACAAGTCAACAAATTATTGTCTAGGAAGGTTTATTAGCATCTCTAAAGATTAAAAGTACATAATTTAATTTTAATTTATAAAATCATATTTATTTTCTTAACCCTTCTCTTGAATATACTTACAGAGAAGGTAATTTAAATTGGACCAAAATCTATCTTGGCAGCATACTAATGTTCGATGCAGAATTGCCACGTTTGAGAAAAAGAGCACGTATTGTTAGATGAACTAGAAAATGAAAAATTGCACGACCTGATGAGGAGTTTCAGTTTGCTAGGATTTAATAATGTGGTGGAGAGTTTCAATTGTTTTATGGTTACAATAGAAAAAGTTTAGATTAATTTTTTAACAAGTATTTATGAAAAATAAAAGTATAATTTAAATTTTTAGATTTTGTTAACATTAGTCTTGAACTGAGTTAAAGTATTCACAAATAAAAAAAATTTATAAAAAATATATATATTTATTGTATTAAAGTTATAAAAATAAATAAATACTTCTCTTTTTAATAAAATTTTATTATTATTAACTGCTTATCTCAGTATTAAAAATTAAGGTTAACAAAATTCTAAACTTTTTTTTATCAAAAATATTTTTTTATTATATTTTTAAAATTTTTTAATTAATTTGTCTAAAATATAATGTGGATAAATTAACTCAGCGTGAATGACTCGATATATATATGAAAAAATGGTTGGCCGTAAATGTAATGAGTTGATTTGCATTACTTATAGTGATTTTGTGATTCACTTTATTTGTAATCTTCATTCCTCTGACGTTGTGATTTCTGGGCTTAATTTGGGGCCTTTTTGGCATCTTAGGTAAATTAGAAACTTTTATTTTAAAAATGTATATAGAGATGGATTATAAATTGGTTGTTTATTTGGTTAATTTTAATGTTAAGAGTTTAGAATCTCTTATTCAAAAAATTTGTAGTCATCTTTAAACTTGTAAAATTATTAGTTTATATCAATACTACTAACCAAAAAACAAGCTAATACAACTTACTTAGCTCACCCATTATGATTTGGAGTCACCAATAAACTAATTAAGCTTAATTAACTTTTGTAGTGAGTTAGAAAAATATTAATCAACCAACCAACGTAACTCACCAAATTTTAAATAATATATAAAAAATATATTAAAATATCATAAAAATTTATTCATTATCATTTAGTAGCTAATATATACTTAGTGAAGTCTTTATATTATTTTGTATTTATTTTTGTCATTAATAAAAATAATAATTTAAATAAAAAATTCACGAGTTGATCTAATTTACCTCAATTGAATCGTTTAACCAGTGAGTTAAGTGAAATGGATAATAAAAAAAATATAAATAGCTTATGAGCTAAATTTTGTTAATTTATTAAAAACTGATGACAAATCAAGTTGACTTACGGGTAAGAGCCAACTTTGAGAGCCCGTAATACCCCTTAACTTGAGGCCTGTTAGTGGCAACTTTATCAACGATGGACCAATATATAAATGGGCTGAACCAAAGTGGGCTATAACTTAAATGGACCTGTAAAACCCAGGCTTGCATTCTCCTTTCAAAATTATATTTTTAATCAATTTGAACTCTAAAAATTATTTTGTAACAAGTGACACAAATATAGAGTATGTATACACATTATAAATATATAATTAAATTTAAGAGGACTACTAAATGTCTAATTTCAGTGTAATAATTATTATAAGTCATGCAACAATCAACCTTTTATACATAATTTATAAAAAAAGTTAGGTCAAGTGTGCTTTAAAGGTGAATGACACATGAATAATATCGAGCTTGCAACTACTTAATTGTTAATTTAAGCATATTTCTCATTTAAAATTCAATTTAAATAAACTTATTTAAAGTTGTTATAAAAGAATTAGTATAAATATATAATAAAACTTATTTTACAAGTTAAAAATAACTTTCTTCCTCCAATTTTAGAAATTAAATGATAGAATAGAAAAATAAGTTCTTTATAACTTATGAAATAAATTTTAATTATTTTATGTTTTATTTTTTTCTCTTATAATTTTTTCTTAGAATTTAATTAAATTAAGTTTTAGTTTAGTTTAGTTTAGAAAAGTAATTATTTTTAAGAAAGATTTTTTAAAAAGAAACAATTAATTTTCTAAACTTAATCTTAATCAAAGGTATGAGCTGGACTTTCCGAGCAAAAATGCATTTACAAATGCTAAGATGATCTAGCAGCTTTTATGGGGGTCTAGGAAATTTTTGTTTTTTTAGTACTATTCAAACATTGGATGCTCAATAATGCCGAATATTTGTTACAAGAGAAACATTAAAACAGGCATAAAAACAGACAATAATTTCAATCGATGTATATTAAACTTGACACGTTTTATTTGTTTAAACAATATTAAACAAAAGAACAAAAGACATTGGGAATGTAATAATAAACCATTTCATTTTATATTGAGAAGAATATGAGAGCAGTGCTTTAGTCATAGGCCATGGAAGAAATCAAAAAACCATTAGGGACTTCTCTTCTGGTGCCATCAGTTCAAGAATTGGCAAAAGAAAATATATCTAAGGTTCCACAGAGATACATTCAGCCTCAACATGAAAACGTGGTGGTCATATCTGAAGAAGCTAATAGAAGACTTGAGATTCCAGTTATTGATATGCAGAGCTTACTTTCTAGAGAATCTGATAGTTCTGAGTTGACCAAGCTTCATCTTGCATGCAAAGATTGGGGATTTTTTCAGGTCTTTTTTATTTGTTTTTAATTTCTTGAAACTTTGATCGTGTGCTGGCTGGTCTGAAGACTTTATGCAAGCAAATTATAAATCATTTATTTATCATTAAACGCATGAACTAACTGAAAAATAGTTGTTTCAGCTTGTTCAGAGATCTCAAATTCAAGTCCTACATGGGCGTTAAATATTTGGAGAGAAAATTTTATGCGGCCAAAACACTTGGATTTAGAAATTTTAGTTATACAAAAGGAAATCACCTAAGTAGTGTTAATGTATGCTCAATGATGAAAAATATGCCTGAGAAATTAATTTTTGATTGAGATCAATGTAGTCAACTCAATGTACTAGGAAGAAAAGGCTAGTGTTATAATTGTAGTGTTAAAATATGCCTAATTTGTATTAGTAGTTGACTTATTTGTAAAAATATTTTTTTATAGCTGATAAACCATGGAGTTAGCTCTTCCTTGGTGGAGAAAGTAAAGTTGGAGATTGAGGATTTCTTCAACCTTCCAATGTCAGAGAAGAGAAAGTTATGGCAGAGTCCACAGCATATGGAGGGGTTTGGACAAGCATTTGTTGTGAATGAAGACCAAAAACTTGATTGGGGTGATATGTTCTATATGACCACATTTCCAAAACAATTGAGAATGCCCAACTTATTTCCCCACCTTCCTCTTCCTTTCAGGTTCTTTCTCTTTCTATGAATGTGTGTATGTTGGTATATATTTATATATTCATGTCTCAAAGAGTTTGTATGTTTAATCACTACTCTGTCATGCAGAGACACTATAGAGCTTTACTCACAAGAGTTGAAAAATTTAGCCATGGTTATTATTGCACATTTGGAGAAAGCTCTTAAGATGGAAGAAATGGAAATAATGAATTTATTTGAAGACATGAGACAATCTATGAGGATGAACTACTACCCTCCATGTCCACAACCAGAGAAGGTTATAGGCCTCGCACCTCATTCAGATGGAGTTGGTCTCACTATCCTCCTACAAGTCAACGAAGTAGAAGGACTCCAAATAAAGAAAGATGGCATGTGGGTTCCTATTAAGCCCCTGCCTAATGCTTTCATTGTAAACGTTGGTGAGATACTTGAGGTAAACATATGACCATTCATCCTAGGCATTTCTATGAGACCAATTTGTTTAATAATAACTCTCTTGAAATTCGACTTGCATTATTATAGTTATGTTGTGATGTTGATTAGTGATTACTGCATAGTTTGCTTCAATTTAGCTATCAATAATCATTAAATGTGAGAGTTTAACCCTTGGTTATATAATTGAATAGATTACTATATAAATGTATATGATTATAAGTAAATTCAAAGGCTAAGGGCAGAAATATTTGTTACATGACAGATTATAACCAATGGGATATACCAAAGTGTGGAGCACAGAGCAACAGTGAACTCTGAAAAAGAAAGGCTTTCAATTGCAACATTCTGCAATCCTAATCAAGAGGTTGAGGTAGGTCCTGGGGCTAGCTTAATCACTGAACAAACGGCTGCACAGTACAAAAGAATTAGAATGGAGGAATACTTTAAGGGTTTATTTGCTCGTAAACTTGATGGAAAGTCTTACCTATATACCCTGAGAGTAGAGCATCGAAATTGAAGTTGATTAAAACTAGCTACGGGCTTGGTATTGGCATTATATGCCAATTCTAGATTGTAGCCCAATTGTGTGCATCTATGAACAAATCTATTACTATAACAACAATAAAGTCGGCTAAATTTGTTCTTGTTGATGTTATTTTTAGTCTAAATAATGTACAAAAACATATTGAAGACCTGAATATAATATAACTATCAAAATGTAAGGTTTGGACCATCAAATTTAAGGCTCGAATAAATTCCAGTTTGTTTAGTCTACTTTGCTATCCACACAGAATCGAGCTTAGGCTACAATTATACAAGTCCAAATAATTTTAGTATTTTTTCAACTCAGTTTGTATAAGTCCAATATTTGCATCAGATTGGATCTGGTTGAGTCCAGAGCTCAAATTGGCTAATGGAGATGTAATTTTGTTGTAACTAAGAGAAATTTAAAAGGCCATGAACTTAAAAAGTTAAAAACACATTTTTATTGATATTGACAATTTTTAAATACAAAAAAATTATAACTCAAAATTGATTTTAACTCATAGTTTCTATAATTAAAACTTATAAAATAGAAATAAACACTAATAATAGCTATTAACTCATATTCTCATCAAATTTTACTCTTTCTCTTTTGTTTATTTTAGCTCGAAGGTGCAAATCATTGTAGATTGAAGACTTAATAATATTTGAGTTTTTCATCAGATAACAGTGATATATATGAGATAATCAGCATAAATATATTATAATAATGTCACTCACAAGAATTTTGAAAACGAATGTTAATTAAAAAATTTATATATATATATATATTATATCAGTAAAGTTGTATTGAAAATATGTTTTTTACACTTAGATATATGTACTTAAAGAACAATTCAAATAAAAAAAATATTTCATTACATCTATAATTAAGAATATTGCAAATACATTTTTTATTGTAGAAAAAATGGTTAAGAACGAGATGACGCCTAAAATCCTAGTGAGTTTGTACCATTGTTGGGGAGACCAGCAAAGACCAACTTCATAAGATCATCGCACAAGCCTAAACTGCGAGTAAATTTTCACTCAATTGCATTACAACCTTATCAAACTAACCCTTTATTTAGCATTAGAGAATTTTTTGTTTGAATCATTGGCATTTTGTGCCAACTTTCATTGGCTTCATTCGAGGTATTCTACATCTTCAATCCAATAAAAAAAAGTACTTCTTAATGAGTAACTGAAGCAAAATTAAATGCAATATATGAATGAGGAATTATCTGAGAAAATTAATTTTACATCAGAGTGAAGAAAATAACTGTGCCATGTAATTATATATGAGTGATCAAGATTAACTTTTATTTATTCTTTAACTAACTGGCTTTGAAGTACTGGTTAGTAAGACCCATGAGAATCAAAACCAATGTGAATTTAAAAACAGGAAAATGTTGTCCCTGAATTGCATAAAATGTCGTACTTAAATAAAGGATATGTGCTAAGCAAAGCACAACGCAGGAAATTCAGCTCAACAATAATCAAAGAGACAGCACAATAAAACACATGCCCAGACACAATAATCAAATATTAATATTTTTTTTACAAGTAATTAAACTTTTAGGTACTATTTTCTATGGGTTCTATTCGTGACAAAAAAAAAACTCTAAAAAATTTCAAAAGCTTTGTTTAAGAGTTTGAAAAGGAGGAAGAGAAAGGATTTGAAGGAAAAAAGTAAAGAGGGAAAGGAATGAGAATGGAAAGAGGTTAAACCCCTTTTTTGTTCGAAGATTTAATATTGAGAGAAAATGGTAATAGAGATTAATTATATAAATGATATTATTATATTTTATATCTTTTATTTATATTTTTTTATTTTCTAAAAAATAAAAAAATAAATATTTTAATTTTTCTAAAAATTAATATTTTTAAAATTAATATTTTTATTTTTTATAAACTTTTTTAAAAAAATTCTTACATAAAAAATTAACATTTAACAAAAAAAAAAAAAGTTAAAATCTTAATCACCAAAGAATAGGAACTAGTGAAAGAAATAAAACTCCAAATTGAAGAAACTCAACAAACTAGCATTAAGAGTTTTTTGGACCCCAAACCCTTCCTATCTTAATTAAATAACTCCTAAACAAAAGTTAACTCCTCTTAATTCTTCTTTTTTCTTACCTTCTCCTCTTAAACATTTGAGAAGGGAAATTTTGGAGGAAAGAACATAAATTTATATTTTAAATAAATATATTTAAAATTAATATTTTTAAAAATAAAAGATATAAATTAATATATCAACAAAAATTTAATGTATTAATAATGTATTTATTATTAAAAATAATATATAATTCTTTTAATTTAAAATTAAAAAATATATCCTCTCCTCTATTTTCTTCCAAAAACTTTTTCCTAAACATAAAAGTCAGTCTCAAACAGCCAAATTTTTCATATCATCTTTTATATATATATATATTTCAACAGTCTGTTATTTGAACTATATGGAGGAGTTTCCACAATTGTAATAGGTTACGCCTGTCCTGAGTTTTTTTGGGAATATTGGTAAGGATGACATTATCCCCTTGCTTCTTAGGAATAGGTTTTCTATTGTACTTACATTTGTAAGGCTTCTTATAAGGTTCAACAGCCTCTTTCTTGGGGGCGTGTTTCTTCTTTTTGGTGGAGCAAGATGGAAGACCAAACTGCTCGTAGAAAGATCCTAATTCTTTCTTACTCAAGGCCTTTTTTTTTGGCAAGCTGCTTTTGGAGTTTATCCTTCTGGCAAGCTTTGATACCGTTATGAATAATAATGACAGTAAGCTGTCCATAGTCATAACTGTCATAATTGATTTATCCAGTAGGAGAATGACTTCGGAGTTTGCTTCTAATAAGATCTCCGAAAGCTTTGGGAAGCCCATCTAGATATTTTTCTTTCCAATAGGCTTGGTTGCAATCTTCTCTGGTTAGGACCCTAGACATGAAGGTATCTTTATACCATTTGAAATGTTCTAAGGAATCACACTTGAGGTTTGAAAGGAGTTCACCTGATCTTTCTCTCCAAAGAGAAGGATCACCCAGGAAGTGTTGGGATATTGTGTATAACAATGTATACACTGCATCAGGAAGACGCTCATTGTCACTGACAATAGTTTTTTCCTTATCATCAATTTTCACTGCAGAGAGGATGTTTTCTCTATCAGCTTCAGTGAGATAATTATCCCACCTTCCTTTGAGTTGGCCAGTAAAACCAGCTACAAGAATATACACAATGGTGTCTTCAGGCATATTTTGATTAGTAAAATAACCCATGGTGACAACCGACATATTTTGGAGTTTGGCAATGATATTATATTCAGATAATCCATCAATATTCCAAATATAAATATTATTAGAATTGAAACTTTGAATAAAATCTTGTTTTCTTCTAAAATAAGATCAGGAGCAGTAGCTCTATTATAATAAAGCTTGGAAGAATTTTTCCAATTGTTGATAGGATTAATGGCTAAAACAGAATCTGTTTCAGAATAATGTTCTGAATCAGTTTTGGAAATAGCATTGACAGTTTTGGTAAGGGATCTAGTTCTAGGTTTAGCACTAGATTCTTCAGAGGGTTGAGGAGTGTCGGGAATAGTAGTAAGAAGACTAGTAATTTTACTAAGCAACTCATTCTGATTATCCTCGTTCACTCTGGTTTTTTCTCTCTGTCTGAGTTCTAAGATTTTTTGTTTAGCTTTGGCACTAATCTTAAATGGTTTAAAAAGAGGTTTTTCTAATTGAGGTTGAGAGGATGAAGAAGCAATTTCTTCAACTTTAGGTTTGACAGGATTAACAGAGATTTTTTCTCCTAGAACCTGAAGGTACTTATTGGTATAATTGGCCTGTTCCATGAGGCCTTGGATGTCATTAGGAGTGATAGACTCTTTAGGGTTCTTTGATTTAAAAGGAGTAGCAGTAACAGGGTTACCGCCCTTATCTTTCAGATTAGGTAATTGGTACTGAGAAGCGGGTGGCAGTTCACTTTGAACTATTTGTCCATCTTTGATCTGCCAGGATATGACATTAGCAGAGGAGGTACTAATGACATCCTCTTGCCAAGGGTAATTTATGTTATTATGAATGGTATAAGCATGATACCAACCAAAGAATGAGATGTTCTGTTTGACATTTTCGAGAAATTGGTAGAATTTCTCTTGGATATCAGATCTGTCTTTTCCCTTATACTTTTGAAAGAACCACTCTCTTTGAGGTTTCCATTCCTCAGAGTAGATATCTTTCCTAAGGGTTTTCTTATCGATAATGAATTTATGAGATAACATCATAAGACTCATTTAAGGAAGAATAGGTTGGAGATTGGATACTCTGATTCTCTTCTTCTTTTTCAGAAGTCTGGTAAACATTTATAGGAATCCTAGAAGAAGTATCTAAACCCTGTAGGTTTATGGAAGGATCATGGTTAATAGATCTGGGAATTTCTGATCTAGTAGAATGGGACCTGTAAGAGAATGACCTCCTAGTAGTAGCGAAACTAGATCGACCGCTACAAGCATCAATTCTGGAAGAGAAGGAGTTTCTTCTATCAAAGGTTATTTCAACTTTCCCAGAATTGTCCTGAGAAATATTTTCAATTTGAGGAGCAGGTCTAGGGACACAAGGCGAAGCCTTATCCAAGACCCACTTTTCTGGAAGGGAAACTTCATCCCACTTAATAATTCTAGGAAGAGAGACATTGGCCTTTGTCATATCAGTGATAAACAAAGTAGTCTCACCTCTTTGGGGTTTAAGAAGGACCCGAGAAGCACAGGAATTCATGGCCTTGTACTGAATCCTATAAATTAAGGCTGCGGGAATAGATCCCTTTTTCATGTTTAACCCATGAAAGCAGACATTGAGGAACAGAGAGTCAAGAATATGGTCATCTAAAAGACTCACTGTTTTGTTAGGAAAACAATTAAAATAAATTGGTCCTTGACCAAGGCTGGTCTCAACAGTTCCTATAAGGGAGTCGTTGAAGTCATTATGACGAGCATCTCTAAGAGACAT